AATGCAGGCTCCCCCCACAGGAAGTACTAGATAGTAAGGGGGAGGCTCAGTTGTCTCCTGCCTGATGGCACAGGACATCACTCTTACGCAGGAGCTGTTAGGGCTCTTCTCGACCATCGTTAGAGGAGGATACAGCAGTCCTGGGGAGTGAACGCCATGCCGAGCTGAGAGTCATCTGAGACCAGTACAGAATCTTAACAGCTTCTAGCACTAAGACCAGAACTGCCACCAGCCAGTGACATCAGCTCTTCACAGCCCCCTGTGATTGGTTGGTTACTAAAGTATACTCACTTCACAGGTGGGGTTTTGGGTAAAATAATTGAGGGACCTACCTACATGCTTGCAATCAGTTAATGGCAAAGAGATTCTACTCAGGGAGATGACTCTAGAGTTCACATTCTTAAGAACCGCTCCTCCCTGAGGTGATGAGGTGTCTAACTATGACCACTAAAGACTTGGTGCCTTCCAATTAGCCCGTCTGTGAGCACCACAGGACTGCCATGAGGGTTTAGCACATAGATGGTTAGCTCCTAACAGCAACCGGCCAATGGTTTCTTTCTGCTAAGAAGCCAGGTTTCAATTTATAAAACATAAAGGTTGTACTTGTAGTTTATGTAGAGCAAGTCCACATTCTCAGTTTGTCTTCAGGTTGGGGTTGTGAGGACCTGTGCCCTTCCACTGTCCTGGTTCTGAGGACCTGTGCCCGTCCCCTGTCCTAGTTCTGATGGGGCGTCTGTGCAGACTTCAGCATTAGGCCAGCAGCAGCTGCTTCTTCTCAGTCTCCTCTGCTATAACAGAGTCCAAGATTAATTCCCAGTGATTATGAAGACAGCTGATGGAGCGCTGAAGAGACATAGTCATCTGTCTTCCTTAGTTTGCAGTGAGGACCTAGATCATAGCATTCCCTGATGTTCACATCAAAGACTATTTACCAAATGAAAAGATGTATAAAATCTCCAAAACTCACTTATTTGTGCATGACATTAAACTCATTTATGTTGTAGCTAATTTTAAAGTAAGCACAACATAAAATGAATAAAAATATAAATAAAATCATATGCTTTAATGTATTGGCATTATAGCTTTTTAAATGAAAAAGATGACAGAAATCTCCAACCAGATTGCAGGTCGCTAGTTTGTAAGAGGCAGTGGCAGAAAGTTTAACTCCTAGGTTGTGACCCAGTGCAGCTACCTTTACTTGTACTTGCCTCTCCAATATGGAAGAACAGTGGGCTGGCTTCAGGGCATGCCAAAGTATGCCAAACACTGGCAATCCCAGTGATGTTGCCCTTTCCTGCCTGAGCCTGGGTCATCTCTAGAAAGCCAGGAGGAGCTCATGAGGTTTGGGAGGAAGTGAAGGGAGCATTTGCTTGAATTTTCCGGTGAATGATGTGGGCGGGGCATCATGCTGTGCTCTTCCGCCATAGAAGAGCTAGCTCTCCCGAAGCTCACACGCAGCACAGTCCTTTCCTGTCCAGGGTGGCGACTGTTCTAGGAGGAGGCCGTGGGCTGCGCAGCAGTCAGTGCTGGTAAACACTGTTGCCAGGTCCCCTTCAGCCTTGCTTCCACCTGTGTCCCCTTCCTGCTGCCTGTGGGTGTGCAGTTTGCCCACACCACCTGGGCCATGTGTTGGATTTTTACATTATTCACACATTTCCTTGACAAAAAAAGAGACATGCTTCAAATTTGCTGTCCTCTCCTGACAAATGAGCCAATATTTTGACATTTAAAAGATAATATTTAAAGGAATAAGCAACATTTCAGAAGTTTCTGGCACTATTAATACCAATGAAAAAATATGTAGTTGTTCCAAAAATAAAAAAAGGCAGAACACTCCCCCCCTCCCCTTCTCTCTCTCTTCCACCTCCCTCTCCCCCCTCCATCTTTTCTCATTCTATAACGCAGCATGGGCAGGTACTTTTCTGGCCCTATCATTTAGTGTTCCGTAAGCCTCGTATACCTGGATGGATATCTTGTTATCTACAGTTGGAGATTTTTCCTTAATGGTTTTATTGAAAATATTTTCTGTGCCTTTGGCATGGAGTTCTCCTCCATCCATACCCGTGATTCCTAGGTTTGATCTGTTCATGGTGTCTCACGTGTTCTAGTCCCAAGTGTCTCATGTGTTCCGTTACATGTACCTTACCGTTCTCCTTGACTGAATAATCCCATTCCTCCCCACTGTCTCCAGGATTCCTGGTCTATGCTGCACACAAGCCATGCTGTTAGCAAGGTCCCCATTGAACTTCTTGTTTGTCTTGTTGAATGTCTCATTTCCAGCTCCATTTCACTTTTATTTTTCTGCAGTATTTCTCTCCCTTTATTGAATTCTAATTTTGCATCCTGAATTGACTTACTTTTTCCCCCGAAGCTGCTTGTTTGTGTTCTACTAGAATTCATTCAGAGATTTATTCCTGTCTTCTTTAGATTCATTTAGAATTTTTGTTCTCATTAAGTTCACGGACATATTTATGATTATTTTGTTTTGGATTCTTGGTGATTTATTCCAAGTGGTTTTCATTAGGGACCATTACAATGGGGTTGGTAGTTTTGGGGGGCAGACATAGGCCTTGGTTTTTGCTGTCACGTTTTGTGTTGTGTTTTGTTGCATCTAGAACTTGGTCAGTCACATCTTTGGCATGAATTGCTGGCCCAGTTGCATCGACTGGACATTTGGGTCTGACTTTGGTGTCACCATGTGGGTTAGAGTCTACTAGGTGATACTCAGATGTGTGGTTGGAATATCTTGGGCGATCCTAGCTAGGCTAGCTGTTTTATGTGCAGAAAATTCGCAGGTTACTTAATGGGCAAGGCCTGGTGTCTCCAGTCTCTGACCTTCGCCAGATGTATTGGTTGTCCAAGTTCCCTCATCACAGTGGGAACCTAAGGATGTATAAGGACCTGGAGTTGTGGTTTTGTGGCCTCAGACAGGTGCTGCTGATGCCAGTCTGAGCCTGGGGAGAGGGTCCTGGGGCCATGTGTCTCTGATCTAACCCAGGCCTCAGTGGCAGCTCGGGATGGGAGGAAGTCTGGCTGTGGTCAGGTGTCTATGACCTCACACAGATAATGCTCTCAGTGGTAGCCTAGGCCTGGGAGGACACTGCTTCATGTAAATTTTATGGGACATAATGACAGAAGTGCATTCAGAATCATTTCAGAAATTGATGAGAATTCTGTACCAAACACAAGCCAAAAGTAATTGAGTAATTATTTTTTAAAATGAAACTTGTCAGCCACTCACACAGCAGCAGTCTTCACACAACACAATCTACAATATGGTAATGTGGTAGTAACACACCGCAATGCTTCAAACACTGTCTTTTCTTCCCATCATTAATCTATCGTGTTTCTATGAGAGCAGGTACACCATCACACACAGAACAAAGTATGTACTTGTGTGTTGGGAACCAAGACTCCAGTGAGGGTATGTGATGCTTCCCAGGAAAACTCATGAACGAACACCTCAGATTCAGAGGCATTCAAATCAATAGAATTTTTCCATTGCTGTGTGTTATAACAGCATATTGTGTGTTACAGCTATACTCAGTTATTTGACCCCATATGGGGTCACATCCGACAGTCTCCAGAGCTGTGTGGTCCCGCAGAGATTACTTAGAACTGTGCCAAGTAGTTTTAAATCGTGATATAAAAGACATATTGATCCTTGATGCCCCTCATCATCATTCATATCATTACCTAGATGTAGTAAGGAGGCCACTTGTTCATTTCCCTGCTGCCCAGACTCCCAAAATAACCACACAGAAACTGTGTTAACTAAATCACTGCTTGGCCAACTACTTAAGCGTATTGCTAGCTAGCTCTTACATCTTGAATTAACCCATCTTCATTATTTTATATTTTACCATGAGGCTTATGGCCTACCAGCAAGGTTTCAGCACGTCTGTCTCTGGTGATGACTTCATGGCTTCTCTTCATTCTGCCTCCTTTCTCCCAGCATTCACTTTAGTTTTCCCCACCTACCTAAGTTCTACCCTAATCAACAGGCCAAGGCAGTTTCTTTATTCACCAATGATATTCACAGCATATAGAGGGGAATCCCACATCACCTAGACGATGAACAGAACCTCGAGTATAGAAAGCAAGCTGTTCTATACTGATGTTACAACCAAGTGTGAACTATCAGAGAAGCATTAATCACATACATTAACTTTTGTGAAGGGTTTGCTTCCCCCCCCCATAGTGTTTCTCCACATACTCTCACAGAGTTACTAATTCGCACATGTAAACATTGTCCTTTTTACTGGCTACATTGCTTTTTTAATTTCATCTCACACATTGGTGTATACATATTTGTAAAACTATATCTGCATGCATACAAGTATACATGGTCTTACTAATGCAACAGGTCAGGAAACTGTACTTGCTTTATTTTCAAGTCCCCGCCCCACCCCTCTCTCAAGATGAATCACCGGCATGTGCCTGGGACAAGCACTCAGCACCACCCATGTGCCCAGCCCTCAGTTGTCCACTAGTGTAGGCCCCTGTTCATGTATCTGCTCCACTGGAATGATACTGGGCATCATACAAACCTGTTACACATTTGGATTCATTGCTCCAATGCTGGAAACCCCAACTTCACTTAAGAACAGAAAAAGAATGCAATTACATCGGGGGAAGAGATGAAATCCTCCCAAGGAAGCCAGTTTGGATATTCTGGGTGATATGTAATTATCAACGTGTTTGTTTTAGCAGGTTTAGAAGGACCATAGATCTTAGTCATTCATTTACTGAAAATATACGGACATTTGATTTTTAGCTCTGTTATTACTGATGTAAAAATATAATATAAATGACATTATAGAAAAGAGAGATGGTGATGTGTGGTGAGAAGATATCTACTAAGGAAGATGAAACTCAGGCGAGTGCGGTCCCTCCAAGGTTGTGTGTGTACGCAGCTCCAGCGTGTCTCAGCTGTGAGCCTCAGAGACTCTCCTGAGGCCAAGACCCAATCCCCCACTCACACCCCTCTTGCCTTGCAGATGTACCACAGGATCCGCCACTCGGAGTGCATCTACAGGGTTACCATGGAGAAGCTGTCCTACCACAGCATCTGTACCTCAGAGGAGTGGCAAGGCCTCATGCACTTCAACCTGCCTGCACGCATCTGCAGAGAGATCGAGCTGTGAGTGTCTCATGCTGTTTCCACTGAAGTAACGCCAAACCGCTGGCGGAGTCAGAGCCACGGTTACTGTGGGGTTGTCCTGTGTGGTCTCATGCGTTGCTCCTTCTGCTTGCCTTAAGTAACAACTCTGAAAGTGAAACCCTGTGTGGTGGCCCCAGCCTGTAGCACCAGCACTTGGGAGGCCGAGGCAGCAGGTTCAGAGCTCCAGCCCAGACAGGGGTGTATAGTGAGTCCTTGTCACAGAACCAAGTATGAAATCAGTAACCTAAACCCTGACATGTCTTATTACTCTGTCATATATTCCAAATGGCATTTAATGAAAGAATTTAGCAATAATTTGTTTCATCTTTGCACTTCCATTCCCCAGTGCTTGGCTAGCACACTAAAGTCTAGCGAGGCAGGGCCTTGTGGTGCTTGTGTGCCTTTGGCAGCCACCCTGTCCCCAAACTGGCGTTCACCTTGTGATTGGAAACATACGCCTTTGCCACACCGCTTATACTGGTCGGGGGTTAGTAATTACACTAGTAAACCAGAACAGAGTTATTGTATGGTGACCTGTGGTTACAGGTATTGAATTCGTGTTTCAGCTTAGATGGAAAGCTGTTACTGATAAGGTCCTCTGGGGAAAATATATATATATATTTCGCCCTGGTGACACCTGTGTGTGCTATATGTATATATTAGTGTCAGTTACCCTGGTGACACCTGTGTCAGCTGTTTTAACGGGAGACCCTGTAGGGTCCCGCAGGAACCCATCAGGTGTGGCAGAGATGGCGGAGGCGGGGGTAGATCACCGTGTCCTTTGAATGCTGGGGCAGATGAGAGGGTATATTGATGTCCATGCCTGCCGTGCTCATCCTGATCACACCTAATGATCCACTACTCCCCTCCTGTTTCAGATTCCACTTTGACATCGGTCCTTTTGAGAACATGTGGCCTGGGATCTTTGTCTACATGATCCACCAGTCTTGCGGGACATCCTGGTATGCGCAACCTATGTGATTCCTTTCCAACGTGGGGGTGACCTACTTAGCCCACCTGTACCTAACCAGGTTCTTTGTATAGTGACGGGAAAATAGACATTTTAATAAACATTCCAATGCAAATCGACTGAGATTATTGTAAAATATGCAGCTTTTCCAAATGCTCCAGGGACTGTTGACTTCCTGGCCTCATTGTCTGTAGCCATAGCAGACAGCTGTCTAGGTGTTGTCCTGGAAACGGGTAACCTAAATGTAATGCTAGCATGTCTTATCACTCTGTCGCACATTCCAAATGACAGTTAGTGTCATTTAGGCTGTGCAGTGGAAGAGGCAGTATCTACACTTGAAGCAGTGCGTTGGAATAGCACCTGCCTTGTAGCATCCTCTTGAGGTTCACATGTATCTGTTAGGTGAGGCACAAAGGAGAAGTTTCTCAGGGAATGGGACAGCGTAGTTCAGTGACTTCATGTGTGATGGTTTACATCTTACTCACACAGGTTCAAAGTGCAAGGATTTGTTTGCTCATTTTTGTAAGTTAGGGTTTTGCACTAATCTGTGTGCAGAGATCTTTAGTTTCTCTGGAATGACACTGTCCATCTTCTTCAGCTATGGGTCTTATCTACTTTTATCAGTAGCAACTTCGGGACTGGCAGCTCCGGTTGTTGCGTAGACAGTTGAGGGTGTGGCTGGAAGTCATTAGAAGCCGGACCTTTCCCTTCAGGGACAGTGAAAGATTTATTGAGGGACACAGAAGCTGTGTATACTCCAAGCTTTATGAACTCTGTCTTTTAATTTGCCTGAAATATATTTTGAGAGTTGTAGGATCTCAACTAAGAAAAAAATAATAATCCAGTGACAGGGTGTACAATAACATGAGTGTTCTCCTCCTTCATGTACTGTGTGAAGAGATTTGGGTGTGGCTATTTTCCGCTTGTATCATGAGTGTACCTTAATGCCCTGTATTTGCTCTGAAAGCATAGTCAGGTGCAGAGTATTTTAATATGTGCTGGCATTTGTGGGTCTGAGTATGCCTCTTAGAGGCCAGGAGGATGCTGTATGTGACTGGCTGAGCCCTCTGGAGTACAGGAAATGCTTGTAAACACAAGGAGCTCAGAGAGAGTAAGCAGGGTAGATGGCAGGCTGACTGGCAGAATGGGCCTATCAGAGTTGGTCTTGGTTCTTCTGCTGCTTTCTGGCTATAGAAGAAGCAAGGAGTAGAAGAGACTACAGAGCTCATGGTCAGCCAGGAGGGAACCCATAGGTGTGTGAGGGGGGCCCATAGGTGTGTGAGGGGGAACCCATAGGTGTGGGGGGTCATAGGTGTGTGAGGGGGCCTACAGGTGTGTGAAGGAGCCTACAGATGTGTGAGGGGGTCTATAGGTGTGTGAAGTAGCCTACAGATGTGTGAGGGCGCCTACAGGTGTCTGAGGTGGTCTCTGAGTGTGTGAGAGAATCTACAGAAGTGTGGGGAAACCCATTGGTGTGTGAGGGGGCCCACAGGTGTGTGAGGAATCCCACAGGTGTGTGAGGAATCCCACAGGTGTTAGAGGGATCCCACAGGTGTGTGAGGGATCCCACAGGTTTTTGAGGGATCCCACAGGTGTGTGAGGGAGTCTACAGGTGTTTGAAGGAGCCCACAGGTGTGTGAGGGAGTCCACAGGTGTTTGAGGGATCCCACAGGTGTTTGAGGGATCACGCAGGTGTTTGAGGGATCCCACAGGTGTGTGAGGGAGTCCACAGGTGTGTGAGGGAGTCCACAGGTGTTTGAGGAATCCCACAGGTGTGTAAGGGAGCAGCTGGTGCACACATCTCCTGGAATGTGTTACACTATGCTGATCTCATCATAGTCATGATGGTCTCTTCTCCACACAGCTTTGAACTTGAAAAATTGTGTCGTTTTATCATGTCTGTGAAAAAGAACTACCGGCGGGTTCCTTACCACAACTGGAAGCATGCAGTCACAGTGGCACACTGCATGTACGCCATACTTCAGAACAACTATGGCCTCTTTACAGACCTCGAGGTGGGTGTGTACATCTGTCAAAAAACCTCAGTGATGCAATGCCTACATCCCAGGGAGTTCATGGCATGAACTTAGCACCAGCACCCAGACACATATTACACTTAATTAGAAATGTTGATCTAGAAATTCCACTGTACCCAAATAACCCCTAGGGAAGTGTGTGTGTGTGTGTGTGTCCTTTCTTCCTTATTAAAGCTGACAGGTCCTGCATGTATTTAACTGAGTGAATATTTATTTTCTTTGTTTGTTTTGTTTTGTTTTTTGAAACAGGGTTTTTCTCTTTAGTCCTGGCTGTCCTGGAACTCAATTTGTAGACCAGCTTGGTCTTGAATTTACAGATCCACCTACCTCTTTTCCCCAGTGTTGGGATTAAAGGCATGCACTCTACCAGCCAGCTAGAGTGAATTTTTCTTGTTGCCCATATGCCCTGAATAACATAGACTTATCTGGATGATTTGAGAACACCAAGCACTTAGTGTAGTTAAGACATTAGTGACATTTGGTGTCCTCCAGCCTAAGGAAGCAGGCTTTGAGATACACAACCAGCTTCCCGGGCTTCACATGCCTGTACTGGAAGATCTCACAATTCCAGAATCACAAATCTCATCCATTCAGGGACCGTAGCACACTCCCAGCCAAGTGCTGAGTGGTGCGACCCCACTAGACAATCAGACTTTGAGCATGTCCCTTTGGGCTCCCAGCCTGGTGGTGTCAGGGACACTACAAACCCAGGCCTCTTTTCTCCCTGCAAAGCAGCGCCACACTTGTGACTATAGACGACAACACTGCCACCTGTAACACACGGTCACACTCAAAACAGATCCACCCTATGCCCTTGCCACCCTGTCAGACCAAAGTCATAGTTGAACCTGAAACCATGGACGGTGGATTCCAGAAGTTTAATAAAGTACCACCTCAAACAGGAAAGAGTAGGGCTGGGAAGCTGGCTCAGGAGGTGAAAGTTGGCTGTCGACCCACACAAGCTGTGGGCATGGCCATGCACAGTTTAACCCCAGCACTGTGGGAGACAGAGACAGGAGGATTGCTAGGGTCTCCTGGCCACCAGCCTAGGTCGAGGTTTAGTGACAGACCCTGTCACAAGGAATAAAACAGGAAGTAATAGAGCAGGGCATAAGCGGTGACTCTACTTTGGTTTCCTGGCCGCCCAGACCCAGATAATCACACATAATCTATTAATTACAACAGTGTTTGGCCTGTTAGCTCAGCTTCTTATTAACTAACTCTTACATCTTAAATTAACCCATTTGTGTTATTTTTATATTTTACCATGAAGCTCATGGTTTGTTGCCTCTTGGTTCTTGGGAGCCTACATGGCGTCTCCCTGACTTTGCCTTCGTTCCTCTGCTATCTCTGCTTGGATTTCCCACCTTGCTATATTCTGCCCTGCTATAGGCCAAAGGAGTTTCTTTATTAACCAGTGGTGATAGAACATATTTATAGCATACAGAGGGGAATCCCACATCAGCAGGGCAATCCAATGTCCTCCCCTAGCCTTTACACAGACACAAATGTGTGTGTCCCCTTTGCACACATACTATTGTCTCACACACAGGCATACAAAGGAGTAAACTATTCTTGGTTGTTGCTCATTTGTTGCCTAAAATAATCTTTAATTTTAGCAAAATTTAACAATATATTGTTGACTTGAATATATTTGAAAGATTCAAATGAAACGTGCTTGCTGTTCATTTGGCTAAGTTTCTATCCTATTGAGATTTGTATTCTATTTGCGGAGACTTTAAGCTTTTTTCCCATTTAACCCCTTTTGCAGTGGCACAGCTGTCCTAGCTCACCATGGCTGCCACTCCCTCACCTGGCTTTGGGAACCTCTTTCCTCTGTTTCCTTAGAGCTGGAGTTCAGAATTGCTCAGACTCCTGCCTTCCTCTGTTCCCACGGAGCTTTGGCGAATTCCACCGTTTCCTTTCTCCATCCAAGTCCGGTTTGAGACTCAGACAGCTGCCTACCCAATTCTGACTCTCCCGCCTCTGCTGTCACCCTTGAATCCTGAAGGTCTACTCACCTGCACCACCTGCAGGATTTCCCACTCCTGCTGCTGGTGTTCTTCAGAAGGGTCACCCTTGACCCTTCTCGCTGTCCTTTCCACAGCCAGTCAAGAGAGCCCCAGGATGCCTGAAAACCGCATCCAGACTTGGCTGACACCTTTGACACTCCTATCACTGTCCTGCTCTCACCCTCCTCTGCCTTCCCTTGATCATTGCAAGCCCTGCTACACATCTCTAGACAGTTTTCTAAAGCTGCCAGTTAGATGCAGACACAGCAATCCTGGAGGCCCCTCACTCTGCTCCTTGTCATTTAGAGTATGACACTGTGTGAGGATACGGTACTCTGCCCTCCGTCTCCAGCGTGCTCCTGACCCGACTCAGGCGAGCCCTTCGGCCATGATCTCGAACCCCTTCTTGCCTCCTCCCTTCTTCTCACAGGGCTCTGTTGGAGTCTGGCTCTTGCTGGGTCTGGCCCAGACTGCTCCCTTTAGTATAAGTTCACCTCCCCTTGGCTTCATAGCATGTTTCGTATTCCAATGCAGTGTGCTGATTTCATATGTCCTGTGTTTGCATGAGGTGTGTATTGGCTGAGAATAGCAACAGCCTTATTAGAACTAGGAGAACCCAAGCTGCCTACTCCATGCAGCACTGAGCTTGCCAGAAAGGCTTTGGTCTACTTGATAGCTCCTGCCCCTTCTCCAGAGTTCAAGAGGAAAACTCATTGGGCTTGTCAGATTCCCATGCAGAAAAACAAAGAACAGGATCCCCCCAAAGTGTGTGATTTCAAAGATTCCTATGAATTTGTATGTATCAGTGGCAGAAATGAATGTAATGGGAATGTGATCTGTGAGTCTCCCAGGTGTCCCCTTGTCATGTCTTAAACATGTCTACATTCTGTTGTCTCTTCAAGCGCAAAGGCCTGCTAATTGCGTGCCTGTGCCATGACCTGGACCACAGGGGCTTCAGTAATAGCTACCTTCAGAAATTCGACCACCCCCTGGCAGCACTGTACTCCACTTCCACCATGGAGCAGCACCACTTCTCCCAGACGGTGTCCATCCTGCAGGTAGGGCGCCAAGCTGCAGTGCTGAGGGTGGGGCTGTCCAGTGTGCTGTGCAGGCGGCAGCTGCAGTCTGCTGTGCTAGCTGATGTCTTTAACGTAACTGCAAGCAGTTTTTTAGGATGTAGCATCCAAGGTTGGTTTCTCTGTATCCCATAGCCAGTGTGTGGGGCCTTCTGTCGGAGGCCACAGAAATATATAGCGTATGGAAATGGATAATTCAGATGTCAGCCCACCAGAAAGTTGACTCTGATGGAGGTTAATCCTGCCCAGGCAAGGCCTGTAGGATCATCGACTCTGGAAACTGCTGATCACTCTTGCTAGAGCAACTTGGAGTCTCCCCAACTCCTGCACTGTAATATATAATCTCATGTGATATATATATGAGATCTTATGAGCACATATATCTGTGGATGGTCAGGAAGATGACTTTTCACTTAGCTATATAATTTTGGTGTATAGAATATGTGCTGGGACACGCTTCCTAACTAGATCTATTTGTCCCATGAGGACTGTGAACACGGAAAAGCCTGCTTTGTTGCTTCTTGCTCAGAGTAACTGCGCACAATTAGCTCACTTTGACCTCAAAGCAAGTTCAAACTAGACTAAAGGCCTTTTATCAATAGATCGTAAGTTTAAACCTTTACAGCTATCAAGAAGATCAGAGTTGCAGATGTCTAACCAGGTTGCTATTCAAATCACCCTAAGGAAAGCATGTCAGTTCTTCACTTGCCAAGTTGCTGACAATAGGCCTATGTCTCAAAATTTGTCACTGGGCACCATACTACCCCGACAGATTTGGTCATGGTCTTATGCCTGTAACACTGGAACCTCGTGTTGCCATGACAATAGCTCAGTTCCCTATCCTTTACCCTAGGAATGTGCTTTTGACCAATGAAAGATAACTCTTGTAATTTTTTTTGTCACTTCAAGACTCCTGTAAGAAAGAGGGTTTTTAGGTGAGAGAGAAGAAGAGAAAAGCTAGGAGAAATCAGAATTAGTTCAGGAGAAGTAGAATAGAAGCAGAACAATAGAGAGACTGATTTGGAGAAGCACATGTGATAGTTTGTTCATGCTCAGATACCCAAAGAAAAAGTCCCTTTCACTTGTTGTGGCTTCCAATCTGAACCCTGAAGAGAGTCCAGAGGCTGGACCCCAAAGGCTCTCATTGGCCTTTAGCAACAGGGTCTTACAGGCTAGTTATATGGGCAACCAAGAATGTGAGCCATTGTTTTAGAGACCCCCCAACGCTTATCTGACCAAAATAACTTGTAGGGAGGTATCCCACACTGGCAGTGTGGTCTTATTTCAGAGTCCATGGCTTCTGGGAGTGGCACTGTCCACCCACGCAGAATACCTCTATTTGACCTGCCCACCACCCTTCCTCTCCTTTCTCCCCATCCTCCACACCCCCAGCATTCCTCACTTTCCTTTCATCTCTCTACTTATATTTATTGTTGCAGTGTGTGGAATATTAGGCTTTATATGATGTTTTCATATGCCTTCCCTGTCTTAGTCAATGTTCTATTGTGCTGTGAAGAGACACCACAGCAATTCTTATACAGGAAAGCATCTAATTGGCACTGGCTTACAGTTTCAGAGGGTCAGTCCGTTGTCATCAGGGCAGGGAGCATGGCGGTGTGTGGCCGACAAGGTTCTGGAGAAGCAGCTGAAAGTTTTACATCTGAATTCAGGAGATAGACAGCAGGAGAGAGAAAGACACTGGGCCTGGCTTGGGCTTCTGAAACCCTAGAACCCACCCCTAGTGACACACTTCCTCCAACAAGGCCACACCTACTCCAACGACATCACACCTCCCAATAGTGCCACCCCCTGTGAGCCTATGGGGACCATTTTCATTCAAACCATCACACTTTGCTTTGGGCTAGCCCTTGACTTCTTCCATACCCTTGTGCTCCTCCATTCCTAAGCCTTTGCACCCCAGCACCCCACTTTGGTTTAATCCACAGTCCGCCCTCCCACCATCTATGAATACACACTCTCACCCACGACCCTTCTCTAGTTTCCTGGTTTCCATTTGACACCCAAGTCTTTTGTGGATGGCTTCTGCCTACAGTAGAGCCACAGTGTCTACTACCCATGTGTAACCCCAATTTACACTCTCGGCTGCAGCCAGGGTGTCCTCTTTTTCTGGCGTGGTGTAGGCATTCCTTCCCTGGTAATGTCATGTCATGATACCCCCACATAGTCTGGAAGCACAGCCTTATACCCCTTTTAGTTATTGCTGAGTTCCTCTGTGTTCATACCTCTTGGGTTTGTTTTTTGCCTCTTGAGGTTTTCTCTTTCAATTGGGTACGCCTGCACATTCAGTGACTGTGCCTAACGTGTCTGCTTCTTGTGAGCTCCAGGAAAGCAGGTTGCTATTTACAGTGTGACCTGAAGTGGTTGCGTATATAGATGATTGTCTAAGCATGAGTTTTCAGTACAGTGTGAAATTACTAGTATTAACTGGTCCGAAAGAAAAAGCTGCTGGCAACTTCACTGCTTTATATTTCCTATGTTCGTCACTATAAAAACACACAGAAATCAGGCATAGTAAAGTCCCCTGTGTTTTGTGGGACCAAGTGGTATTCTACACACAAAATCGACCACATAAGCAATTGCTCTATCACAACAACGAAACAGTCCCTTTGTTTCCCCAAACTTGTCATTGCGGTGACATTTGACACTGTTATCCATCCATACTGTTTCCAAGTAGCAGAAGATGCCTTGAGGCTAGGTGTGCTGCTATTGGTGGTTTTCCTCTGGTCTCTCTGTAGCTGGAAGGACACAACATCTTCTCCACCCTGAGCTCCAGCGAGTACGAGCAGGTGCTGGAGATCATCCGCAAAGCCATCATCGCCACTGACCTCGCCCTGTACTTTGGGAACAGGAAGCAGTTGGAGGAGATGTACCAGGCGGGGTCACTGAACCTCCACAACCAGTCGCATCGGTAAGGACAGCTTGGCCGAGGTTATGAGCCTGGTGTGTGTGTGTGTGTGTGTGTGTGTGCGTGCGTGCGTGTGTTCAAAGGAGAACACACGGAGGGCATGCCTCTGCTGACATGCATTTTGGTGGTGATTCCACTGTTTTTGCAGGGCATGGTTTGCAGAGTGGACTCAGCTTCAGGCCCAGTGTGGTGTGAGACACTCACCTGCCTCAGATTCCATGTTGTGATTATCTGTATCCAGTCAGCCTCTCCTCCGTGAGGCCATCTTTATCCTAAGGTGCAAGGACAGCTACTTACTGGTTCCGTCCCTGCCTCTTCTGGGATCCATCCAGACCTGGTCTTAAGATTTCTTTCTAGAGGATGGTCTCTGCTTTGGGGCTCTTAGCAAACGGGTAGAACTGGAGCCCGGCTCACAGGAGTAAAGGATGTCTTTATAACGATGTGTGTGCCTCAGCTCAGCAGCAGTTGTGCAAGCTCCCCTCATGCCAGGGCACGCCTACATTCTGCAAGCCTCGAAATGTATGCAGTGTATCTATCTATCAGAGGAACAATGGGGGAGGCCATCTTACTTTCACACACAGCAAGGCCTCTCCAGGACAGGAGTCATTGTTGATAAAGCTCCTAAGGTGCCTCTCATTCCTCCAGCTCTGCCTCCCTGAAGTTCACAAGGGCAGTGTGCTTCAAGTCGCCTCCGCTGCTCACAGTGTGTGAGTGGTTCTTGTGCCTACACCCTGTGCAAGAAGAAGAGTTTACATTCTCTTTATGGCATCTTCAAAGGGATATTCGACCCTCATGAAGTATGCTTGGTTTCAGAAACCCATCCTTCTACTTTTTTCTTGGATATATTCAGTTATTTATTAACCAAATAGTCACAATAATTAATATGTCATTATAGAAAACTTAAACATCAAATTGAAAGTCTATTTTTCATGCTTAATGCATATGGGCCTCTGTGTTGGTAGCACAAGTTAGCTGTGACTGGTTTGTGTTGGTTAGCAGTTTGCCTCAACAGGCTTCCAAGTGAAGAAATCCGAGGAAAGAGAGCGACAGTCTCGCTTTTATACTCGGATGTCACGTGTTTGCTCTGGCACCACCCCATTCTGTTTCTCCAGAGGTCCGCACAGTGTTCCTGTGGCGTATACACAGCCATGTGCCTTCTCCTCAGTGTTTATGTCAGAGCCGTTCGTTTTTTTAAATTGTTTTATTGAGCTACATGTGTTTCTCCACTCGGATCCCTGCCCCCCTCCCCCCCCCTTCTACCCTCTCCCATGATCCCCATTCTCCCAATTTACTCAGGAGGTCTTGTCTTTTTCTACCTCCCATGTAGATTAGATCCATGTGTCTCTCTCGTAGGATTCTCTTTGTTGTCTAGGTTCTCTAGGATTGTGCTTTGTAGGCTGGTTTTCTTTGGTTTATATCTAAAAGCCACCTATAAATGAGCACATATTATATCTGTCTTTCTGGGTCTGGGATACCTCACTCAGTATGATGTTTTCTAAATCCATCCATTTGCCCACAAATTTCAAGATGTCATTATCTTTTCCCCCGTGTGTAGGACTCCATTGTGTAAGTGTACCACATCTTTATCCAGTCTTCAGTGCAAGAGCATTTAGGCTGTTTCCAACCTAAATATTGAAAGTTAAAATTTGCAAATGTTAAAATTGACAAACATTGCAGAGCCATTCTTTTTTTTTTTAAAAAAAAGATCCTATAACACAATCTAACATAAATAGTTGTAAAGGTTTAGAAACCTCCAGATTGATGGTGACAGTTTCTAGACTTTTCCATTATAAACAGTGATGCAATAAACTTTGCTCATGTGATCTTTCCTACCCCTATATACCCTTGACATTATATAGCATAGAGCTGGAGAGATGGCTCAGTGGTTAAGAGCACTGACTGCTCTTACAGGGGACCTGAGTTTTGTTCCCAGCACCTACATGACAGCTCAAAACCAGTTTTCCAATGTCTTCTTCCAGGTACCGGAAAAGCACATGGTGCACAGATACACAAGCAGACAAGACACTGATAGACATGAAATAAAAAATTAAGTATATATGGCATATATTGCTAGAAATATACATACATTAAGCTTTAAAACAGACAAGCTAGGAATTCCCCCATCTTCTCACAGGAGGGTGAGACCTGCTCCATGTGTCTGAGGTCTGAGGATGGAACCCAGGGCCTCACACATGCTAGGCAAACCCTCTATTAGTGACAGTCTAGCCCTTGATCCTCTGTGAGGAACAAAGAAACCTCAGATCAATAAGATGCATCTGTTACTTGCTCTTATCAAACCCCATAGCCATGCGAACACTTCATAAATTTTTGTGCATTTTATAGTTCAATTTTTATATTTAGCTCTGAATTCTTATATTAATAGAATTATATTTTTATTTCCTCTTGATGCATTAAATCAGTATCACTTAATGGCTAGTTCAGTTTCCCCACTGAATTGACTGTGTTAAGAGTGTTGTAACCTGGGAGGTCTCCTAAAGCATTTCTGCTAACCCTCCGGCTCCCCTGCAGTCCATCTGTATTGGCTTTCATCTTATGAAATGAGTCGCATGACATCACAGGCTTGCACCCCTTCCTGGGAGTGTTTCCGAAGCAAACAGTAATCTGCTGTAGACCTTCTGAATTATTGACATTTTAGTATTACATTTAATTGTTTACCTGAAAGGAAAGCACTGTGTCATTTTTTTGATAACATTTATGGGTTATTTGCCTTTCCCAACTAGAAGTTTCTATGAAAGCAGAGTTTATCTTATTATGCAGGATCCAGAATTGCTAGATTAAACGAACAGGCCAATGTGTTTGAAGTTGCTAGGGGAACCATGAGCACATTGTATTCTGAGTTGCTTTCCGCTTTCCCTCTGAGGTCTGCGGCTACAGACTGGTCGCCCCGAGATTATACCAGGCTTCCTGCAGGAACCCCACAGGGCGCAGCTGCTGCTGGGAACCCTTTCAGGGGTGAGGTCTAATTACATTCACGAACAGAATAAAGCATCTATTCTGGCATTTCTGGGTGATCATGACCATCTAACTGATTTATAATTGTGAATAAAAACAGTAATTATACTTAATATGAATATATGCCGAATTTCCAGGCTACGCACTTCCTCACGAGCAATCAAATAACAACTTTGCATTGTGTTGTCTCAATAATGTTGACAGTTCTAAGTGTGAGGTTGTTGGGAAAGGGTCTACACATTTACAAAACCCAGTGCTATTAACACCACTTTTTACAGAGTTCCGAAATGAGAAATTTTTTTTCAGATTAAACCTTATTATACTACTTAGCATAAAAAATGTTGGGTTGTAAAAAAATGTTGGGGTGTGGGGGAAAAAACATTGTATGAGATTGACTCGCTTAAATTGTATGAAAGAATGATTTGTAACTATAATGCTAGTTTTCACGTTCTCCGTCTGTCTAGTAAATTAACTTAATTCTTGAGAAGTTCAAGTTCAAATATGCTCTTCTTTTTCTAAAAATTAATGGAACCAGAGAATTGTAGATTTATCTGGTCACTTTAAACTACTTGGGTCTTGAAGTGGCATCTACTTGGGATGCCAGGTGACCATACATGACTGCCGAGCGTCTCTCAGTTATCCACCCTGACTGTAGCAGATATAACAAGCCCTCGGGTTGTCCCTTTGAAAAGCCAGATTGTGGAGGTCAGTGAGTAAGACAGGAAGTGGACTGATGGCAAGCAGCCCCGTATGATGTGGCGTTCAGGAAACTGTAGTGAGAACTGCGTGAGAGTCTCTGCGACCTTGACAGATGACCCCGACAAACCACGTCCACCGGTCCAGGCTGTGTCCCCAGTGGAGAAATCCGCTGGTAGCCCTGTGTCCCTCAGACCTCACTGAATACATATGAGCTGGAAGTGTCAGTGTGTCTCACCCCTGACACAGTTCTACATGTTGGGTGATGAAGGATCTTTATAAATTATGTGATTTTTCTCCAGTTAAGGTCAGGATATTATATTCCCCTGCTTCATTTCGCAAGTCTAAGTATCACCAGAGAAAACCCAGTAAAGTCGCTGGCAATATGTTTCTTTGAACTTTTAAGCAATTATTATTTTTCTTGAAGAGAAAAGATTTAGCTGTACTTGTGTACAAACCGCAAGTCAGACATGTAATGTATTGCTCAGAGGCCAAGAAGCTAAATGGAAAACGCCTTCCTTTGTCAGAGTCTGAGTCTGAACAAGTGCTTGCTAAAGAGCACAGCCTTGGAGGAACATGGTCCATCCCTCTCTGCAGGCATCCAGCTCATTGCACACCCAAGCTGAGTGTTTCTGTACATCTCAGACTTGGTGGATGTAGGATGAAAGCATGGGGCGGGTTTTTCATTCAGGTGACATTACGCTTGCAGAGGTCTGTGAAGGGAAGGCTAGACAGCCTGTAAGGTAACCGCTGCCTGCTGTGTTTGCTCAGCAGGGATACCGAGGCACCAGGAGCTCAGAGCACTCCTGTACAACCCGATGTCACAGCTAAAGCCACTTTGCCCTTTAATTCTATACTGCTGTCCTACCTGCTAAACCATGTGATTCTGCTTCTTAATGCTTTTTCTGTCGTCGGGAAGTAACGCACAGGCAAGCCTTACTCCTGGTGATGCCTGCATGCCCCCCCCATCCCTGCCCATAGGTCTCCAGGCAAAGCGCAAATACCGCACTCACCAGTTTTATATCATCTTCTAGAGACCGTGTAATCGGCTTGATGATGACGGCCTGCGATCTTTGTTCTGTGACGAAACTATGGCCAGTTACAAAACTGACGGCAAATGATATATACGCAGAATTCTGGGCTGAGGTATGTCCTTGATTCTTATATTAACTTAGACATTACCAAGAAATGGAATGAATGAATGAATGAACAAATGAATGAAGCACAGTGGCCAGTCAGTCTACCTAAGGCCTGATTGGTCATGCTCATAGTTGCCTTGGAAACCTGTGGTCAGTCACACAGCATGACAAATTGAGCGCGTATCCTTGTGTGCTGAGAACTCTATCCCAGCCTACCCGAATGAGGGCAGATCCCCTGATCCCCACTGGAAGAGTGGGTGTGAGAGCATGCTCAGTGAGCATTGCTGCAGCAACTTCCCTTTCTCCACAGTCGACCTGTGCTCACTGGGCAATGTACTGCTGGATATTGCTTTACAAGTGCAGCGGGTATCCATGGCTCCGAAGCCCTGGGCTGCATCTGCTGCTCGTGAGGAACTGGGGAGAGTCATCCTTATTTGACTCTAGCATAAGACAGTGTCAGTGTGTTCCCAGGCCAGCTCGGGTTCTGCCTTCTATGGAGCAACCAGCCTCTAGAACAGCGGTTCTCAACCTGTGGGTCTCAACCCCTTTGAGGTTAAACCACCCTTCCATAGTGGTTGTCTAAGACCATCGAAAACACCAACATTTTCATTATGATTCGTAACAGCAACAAAATTACAGTTATGAAGTAATAACAAAGTTGATTTTGTGGTTGGAGTCACCACATGGAGGAACTGTACTAAAAGGCTCGCAACATTAGAAAGGTTGAGAACCGCTGGTCTAGACCACATACACACAAACACACACTCACACACACACACACACGTACACGCGTACGCATACACACACGCACACACTCACTTTGTTTTATCGTGTAACTGAACCTGTCAAGCTTAGTTAATGAAAGTGAGATTCCCCTGGTCTCAATCCTTCCTTGCCAGTCAACTCAGTTGTGTGGTTGTGTGGTTGTGGTTGTTCCTGTGACCGACAGCACGTCCTGAAACCCTGCCTGGGGAAACTGGGCTACTGTTCCGCTCAGCTTTGCACACCATGCAGACCATCCTTTACCGACTACATTTGTGTTCTAAGCCATGAACATGGCAGACACGGAGCGTAGGTTCCTCCCTGCACACTCCTCCCTGCACACTCCTTGTGGATTACCTAGTCCATGGCAGTCTCTAGGATCTGTCCACCCTGGGAGCAGGCCCAAGTAGTCTCCAGGCCCTGGCATTAGATTTAACCCCCTGAAGTCCAGTGTCTCCTCTCCTCCCCACCATGCTGCTGCTGCTTCCTACTCTGCCCCCTCCCCCTATTCCTCATCTGTGCCTTTCAGAGCAGCCATGAAGAATGCAGTCTTGGGTCATGCAGTCCCAGAGGACCCTTGCTTGGCCCTTAGCATAGCTCTGGGCAGTCAGCACCCCATGTCAAATCCTCCACCATCATTGGCTTCAGATCTCCACCCCACCCCTGCACCCCCTGCCATAGCCTGCCTCAGCCCCTCACAGTCCCTGAAGCCCTCATTAGGTGCCTGTCCCTTGCTCGTCCCATGTCACTGGGTTTCCTTGTCAGCATTAATCTGGCTCTAAGAGCGCACTGAAGTTTCTCATCTAGAAAAGTGTTTCCCTCTGAGACTCGTGACAGCTTCCCGAGCAGGAACTTGGACCCACCAGTGTCTGCACACAGAGCGTGTAGCTAAAGAACTTGTGCTTTGGGGACCCGGGTGCTCCAGGACTAGTTTTAGGGCATAGAGTGAGGGGTCTAGCGCTCACTGCTGACTAACAGGTCCTGGGTTCCAGTGTAATTTCTGAAGAAAAAAAGTTGATTAAAATGACTCCGTGTGCATCATTAAGAAGACTTCAACAAGCTCCAAGGGAAGAGCAGCTGGTGTCTGAGGAGCTGTAATGTAGGAGCTCTAAGGACGCTGTGTGCATCTTGCAGCGCTGCTAGAGGACGAAGTGGAGTGATACAGATGCTCATCCCCGAGCTTGGTGTGCGGGAAGTCCCCTCCAGCAACCACCTGCGGCAGGAATGTGGTACCAGGCTGTGTCTGCTGTCCTGGATCCCCACTGACCCTTTTGGCAAACTGCTTATCATTCCCCCACCAACACCATGAAAGCCCAATTTCACTCATTTCACACAAAGGAAGAACCAGTTGAGAAAGAAGCAAGGGCAGCCATGATGCCTTTGCACACCCATCACCCCTCCTGCCATTCATGGCTCTGCAGTGGCACCAGAGGAGGTGTTGGGGTGTCTAGTAATTTGGCAGAGAAGAATGTCAGTGCACAGTACTGTACAGGGACACAGAGATCGCCATGACTTTGACGCCATGTCTCTTGGGGCAGGAGACGTTTTAAAGGAAGTTTTCATTAACACCCAAGTTCTGTCTGACTGTTTGAAACTACGAGTCACCTCCTCCTGTCTACTGCAGGGCGATGAAATGAAGAAGCTGGGAATTCAGCCCATTCCCATGATGGACAGAGACAAGCGAGATGAAGTCCCGCAAGGACAGGTATGAAGACCAACAGCCGTCTGTGGTTGTCTGTCTGTCTGTCCACCATCTATCTATGGAACTTGGTGGGTTTGAACCCACTGTCGATGGGTCTCAAACCCCGAGCTCACTGGTAGAGTGTTCTGTCTGGTCCCAGTGTTGACATGTGTTTTGTGTGGGGGTCCTGCACACTCTGGGATGTGGGGGTCCTGCACACTCTGGGGTGTTCACTCCTGCCTCTCCTCCCTCCACTGCTGCTTTTGCTCCACTGCTTTACATTTGGCTATTAAGCTATTTGAAATACATCTTGTCGCTAAGGAAGGGACCTAACAAAGTCTTTCTAAACAGTTGTAACAGGTTCTTTCCCCAAAAGGGTTCCATTTTAGGACTCTCAATCAGAAAAATAGTTCATTTTAAAATAGGTTGAGCTTTGCCAAGAGTAACTCCTTTTGTAGCATGAGTGAGTTTTAAATATCTCTGAGACCCACAATTTTTTTCCAGTTCTTCTAAATTCCAAACTGATCACTGTGAAGCTGTTTTATCACAACAGGGAAGTACTCTCTTCCCCAGTATATAATCTTTTTCTTGGGTGTTCTAGCCCAGTCACTCCTTGCTCCGATTTAGAATAAGAAAATACCTGCACAAGCTAAGTAATTCAAACTAAGCCCACGGTGGTGGTTCGTCCCTGCAGCCCCAGCCCCAATAGCCTGTGGCAGGAGCTTCATGAGTGCCAGGCCCACCTGGACTGCAGACAAGACACCGGCTCAAACCCATTTCCAAAGTGGAAATGTATAAGCATTGCTCATGCATGGAGACTGTGAGCATTACAGTAGGAGATAGTGAAATCAAACCATGTAGACCTCCTGCTGCTTCTGCTCTCGGATGCATCTGGAGTTCTATTTCTCAAGAAGATGCTGGGCTAACCTAGGGAGTCGATGGTGTCACTGTGCCATCTCATTGGTCAGTCATGAAGTGGGGCTCATCAGTGGAGGGCAGCCCCACAGTAATCCACGTCTGCCCTTCACTAGGTAGCCTGGGGTAGCATCCTTGGTAGATGGTGACGTCTCACTGGTAGAGAGAGGGGAGTGCTGAGCTAGGAGAGCATCGCTGAGCACCAGCGAGGAGTGTGGGGATGACACAAGGCTAAAGAAAGAAAACCAGAAATCGCATTAGCTGCCCTTGCATGCTAAGCTGGAAGAGAACTGGGCAGGTGAAAGACTGTGGGCCCCCGACTTTGCGAAGTCCAGAGGGCAGCATCAAATTAACACAGGACATTAACAGGCCTTGGATTCAAGCCTGACAAGTTTAACTCACTCAAGTTCCAACTCCCCTGGGTGTAAATGGCTGCACTGTGTTAAGAATGTGTGCAGGTATTCTTGGCATTTATCTGAATGCACTGCCAATCACTCAGCACTGGTCTGCTCAGGGCCCAGGAGATACAGCGGACAGCACTTATCAGACACAGGGCACAGCACACAGCAGGAACAGCACACAGAACATAGTACACAGTACCTCACACAGCACACAGCAGGAACAGCACACACAACACAGACACACAAACAGCACACACACAGTACACACACAGCACAGACACACACACAGGACACACACAGCACACACACAGCACAGACACACACACAGCACAGTTGTAGACAAACAGCACACACACAGCACATACACACAAACCGCACACGTAGCATACAGCAGAACCACTGACTTCATACTTAGGCTTCAGGGACAGAAAAGTGGGTCATCCACATCCTAACAGTGACCTTGTTTTGTTTCCCTGACCTGTCTCTGCGGCAGCTTGGGTTCTACAATGCCGTGGCCATTCCCTGCTACACCACGCTGACACAGATCCTCCCGCCCACGGAGCCACTGCTGAAGGCCTGCAGGTAAGCACAGCATTCCAGGTTTGTGTGGCCATCAAAGCCTTCCTGAACTCTGTGTGAGGTTTCTCACTCCATAAGCCTGTGGGTATGTGGTATTCAGTTTATAGTGAATCTTCTGATTTGCAGCCTGTGTCCCTGCTGTGCTAGCCATTTGCCCTGTTCAGGGGTCCTGGGTGGGCCCAGCTGACTGGTTTCATCAGGGTTGAGACCCTTTCCCCCTGCTTTCCTTTTTATCAGAGTTGAATTTCAGACACTAGCTGATGCTAAGGCAGTCTATTGTGTCGCTCAGACAGGACAGATGGTACTGGCAGCCCATGCCATGGACCAGGGCAGGTCAAAGGATATCTGTGCAGCTGAGCTAAAGGGGCTGTGTGCAGAGAACCCCTCGGGGTAAGGTGCTTACCTGTGCTCTGTGTGAGCCAGGCATGCGGAGTCTCCCTGAAGACAGTGAACCCCTTTTTCTGTAAGCGGCTCCCTTCTCAACCTGTGACTGTCCTGTTTGTGGTCTATGCTGATGGCACCTCGACTCCGGATTCCTACCAGGCAGCATCCTGCAGCCTCCGACACCCTGTGTGGCCCGCAGACACTCAAACATGCCAGTCACAAACATCACAGTCACCGTGTGACTCTTACAGTGATCTCTACACAGTGTATGGGAAGAGCACACACATTCATTCTTCCTAGACAGAGTAGGAGCCACTGTCAGCCTGCAGAGCAGAGTCCTGTGCTGTCTCCTCGGGTGACTGTTAGGGGAGTTTTTAGTAGTGTTGTGTATAAATTTTGTACTTGCCACTGTTAAAACTCCCTTATGACATTGACTTTATGTAAAAGAAAGCCAAGTCAGGGTGGGGTAAAGAATTCTGCAAGACTCACACAGGACAGGCTCACACTGCGGGCTCACAGGACGGGCTCACAGGACAGTTCACACTGCGGGCTCACAGGATGGGCTCACACTGCGGACTCATAGGACAGGCTCACACTGCAGGCTCACACTGTGGGCTCACAGGACAAGCTCACACTGAGGGCTCACACGATGGGTTCACACCACGGGCTCACACTGCGGGCTCACCCTGCAGGCTCACGCAGCAGACTGTCACCTTTGCCAGGCTGCGAGGCCATGTGCCTGTGACATACCTGTTGAGGACGAGGAAAGAAGAGATTAGAGGACAGTAGAACGGGGCTCCGATACGAGGTCCCCAGAGCAGCTTCTGCAGTGGGATGTTTTGAAAGCCCATGCCATTGAAGTTGAGATGTTTTACACAAAAGAGGCTGTTCAGATTAAAGGGACTGTGGCGAGGTTAACTGGCCTCCCGAGGTCTCTGTAACTTGGGTAGTACCATCTTTCTCTCTCACCTGCCACCCCTGGCTGCCTCTTGCCTGGATCAACCGTGACAAGGAGCCCTAAGTACTCTTGCTCACTCCATCCTCAGTAATTAGTAAACATGACCTTGTTCTAGCCCAGCTTTTGTCCTCACAGCCCGGTGCCCTGGGTCTCTTGGGCTCACTGCTGAAGAAACATGGCAAGAGCTTGGCCTAGCCACCCTACACCAGCCAAGCATCAAGTCAGCATCAGGATGGCTCTGACAAGGCCATGTCATCTGTAACTCTGTCCTTTGTCCCTAGGGATAATCTCAATCAGTGGGAGAAGGTGATTCGTGGGGAGGAGTCTGCATTGTGGATTTCAGCCCCGACAGCAGGCAAAGGGCCATCTGAGAAGCTGCCTGTGAAGGTTGATGACTGATCCCGGCGAGGTGACCGTCCAGCAACCGACCTTCATCCTGCTTCTTCGACGTCGTTCCTTTTATTTCTAAGGGGGAGGGGACACCTCTCCCAGAAGGTACCATCACACACACTAGTGAAGGAGAGGACTTCCTGCCTGCCGCGCACGCCTCGGACAGTGAGCTGTTTGGGCTCCACCATGTTCAGACATCAGCTGTTCTGTGGCTCCACCCAACTCCTGAATGACCTCTGTGAACAGGCCAGCAATGCACTGGCCTTGAAGGTGGGCAGAGACCACAGGAGGGGTTCCTGTCTGGGTCCTTCCATGAGGGCGTGGTCAGTACCCTGGCTCTAGGGCAGTGCTTCTTGGTGGCATTGGCTATAAACACGACACCCGTCCCTGTAGTGAAGTCCACGTGTGACCTCCCTGTTGTAGCCTGGGACACAGGTAATGAAGGGTCACAGCCCACAGGCAGTTGAGGAATTCAAGTTGTCGATTTTAGGCAGACTAAAGGTGTGTTCTTTCAGTTTATTCTGGGGCACGTAGGTGAGTTGGCTCCGCCTAAGGAAGCAGACATCCGTCCTTCGTCAAGGAGACACAGGGTACATCCCAGGCATCCGAGAACCTCAGCTCTCAGTCCAAACCATGTCAGAGAATTAAAACACGTTCCCCTTGCTGTAGACTGTAGCCTTTGGCAACTTTAGCCACAGAGAAAATAAAAGTGAGGCATCTGAATTTCCTTTGCAGCAAGAAAAACCTTGTGAGTAAAATAATACGTTAATTTTCCCATTTCTTTAAGTTTTGACTGTGTGTTATGGCAGCATTTTAGTCACATCCAAACTGAAAGATTATTCTAAATGACACCCCATCCCATGCTGTCCTCCCCTCAGAGGCACCAACAGTGCAGCCTCAGTGGCATGGGATTGCGATCTCTCCCCTCACTGTGCAGTCCGGCCCAACAGGAGGAGGTGCAGGGCCGCCACGCTGACCCTTGATCATGACTTCTCTGCCACGCTCATATCCGGAGTGCTCCACAAAGATCCCCATGTGTGATTCGTTCTTGTGTGTGACCTTCCAGTAACTGCTGCTGGGTGAAGTTAGAGAAGCCGACAGAGCCCCGGGCCCTTCCTGCTGCATCTGAGGAGGTTACCCGTTCAGCCACGAGGATGTTCAGGACGGTGGCAGGGAGACCAGAGAACCCGGGCTTGGTTGTTCTCGCTTAGCGAGTGAGTCTTGGGAAGTCAGAGACTGGTCAGAACAAAGGGCTCTCTTACCGCTCTGCCGGGAGGGTGAAAAGTTGCTTTGAAATGCATTTTCAAAATTGGCTTTGATAACTCGATACTGTACACACCACTGCTTATAGGAGCTTGACATCAGCAAAAACCTATTGGGGTTTCTTCTACATATTGATTTATGTTGTAGCAGAGCGGCTGAACACAAACCTTGTTCTCATTTCCTATTAACACCATGTGTTCCTTTTTCCCGCAGGCTTCTAAAAAGCCACCATCTCCCCTCCATGACATTGATTTTCTGTTGTCACCGTATCAGGTAAAAGGTGATGCCAGTGACTGCCAGGGCTGGGCACACACCTGCACATGTAGTATGCATGGTGTGGGCACAAACACACAGATGTATATATGGTACACATGTGATACAAAAGGAAAGAAAGAAGCAAGCACTTATAATAAAAATGGCAGTGGTTTTCCACGTTGGGAAACGAGAACATGAATGGAAGTGTGGCTTCTGTAAGTGTTCACAGGCAGAAGGTCGTAGCAAGTCCTTTTCCTCATGCAGACAGGCGGCACTAGATTCAACAAAAAGCCACTTTACCCACACACGTTGACAGATCATCTCCCTTGGAAGCTGGACTGCAGCAAGGGGCAGGATTGGGATGCTTGTTTCATTCTGGCATTTTGAAGGAATGCATGAATTCTGTTTTCAAGTTTGGCAAAGGATCCTGGTCATGGGAATTCTGTGGCTGCTTTAGCATTTCATGGTGGATGTGGTAGTAAGAATATTACAGAAATCTCTCTCAGTTTGACCTAGCCAAGAATATTGTATTGTGTGGCCTCTACTGGGGCAGTTGTGCAGAGGAACCTGCTGGGGATTTGCTGGCTGGACAATCTCATGAAATACTGCCATATGAGAAGCAGTTTGGATAAAAGATGATAGCTGATTTTTTAAAAGGCCTTTTTTAAAAATTATTTTCTAAAAGATGTTTATAAGATTGTTCTCACCATGTGTGAGACCCAGCAGGCATAGATTTGCCCAAAATAAAAGAGGCCAGGATGTGGCCTTGTTTAGTTAATAATTTGGCTTTTGAATTCATGCAGTCAAGTGTGTGTGTGTGTGTGTGTGTGTGTGTGTGTGTGTGTGTGTGTGTGTGTTGGCAAGTATATTTAGCAGACAGGCACTGGAATCCTGCCTCTAAGTTTTTCCCACCTCTTTTCTCTCCATGCTTCCTCCCACCGAGGATTTCCAGGAATTTCTCATTAGTGTCTGGTGCAAACTTAGTGACAAACAATGAATATTAAGAGAAAGTTCCACTTACTGAAATTATTTATGAGCATTTAACACACAAGTTTTAGAGTCGTGGTGGTTATTAATTTTTTTCCACACTTTGTGGTCCCTTTTTATCTGGGGAAAAAATGTTCGTGGATACTTAAGTTCATGCCAACACCAACGTGAAGTGTTTTGAGTCTGGGTGATGAAATCCAATCATAAAATGTGTCACTATCAATTAGTTGTCTGTTGATCGAAACAAAGTAGAGGGCAGGAGTGGCCGAGGAAGCAGCGCAAAGCTGGGGTGACTGTCAGCGTCCCACTTCCTAGGATATAAGAAACAGGAAGAGAGAAGTTGAGTCCTGTCCCCGTCCGGCTCCCTCCAGTTTGAAGAGTGTGCTAGTGATTGTCGCTGTGATACCTCAGGAGACTCGTTCCCACAACAGTCAGGTGGATCTGCCCTGATAGTGTTGGACTCCTCTTTTCAGCCTGTGTTGGTATTTTTATTTGATACACACTCAGTGAGCTTTGCTTTTTCACTGTGTTCATATATGTGCTAGATGTGTTAGCACAGTCTGCCTGCTGCATGACGCCATAGGGACCGAGCAGGTCTTCCAACGGGCTTAGCTTGGCATGTGGTGTTCCTGCTCTCTTAGGTCTAAATTAAGGTCTCAGCTTTAACAGGACTAAAGTAGTTGCCCTGCCTTGGCCTCATACCTGTATTTGAAAGCCAACTTTCCCCCTTTCTCTCACGTGCTCGCCTTTCATCTTTGGCAAGTGTAAGGGACAGACAGCATTTAAAGGGGTGTATGCCTGGCAGGTTCACCATTGTTTGTCAGGGGCCTGTCATCCCATGTCACTGATGTCTGCCCTGGTGACTTGGGGATCCTCTTGTTTGTCAGGAATTGTGGCTCCAGTTAGAGGCATGGATCTCTTGGTTTCTGGCTCCTCAGCTGGCTTTGATTTTAAAGGCCACTTCTCTCTGTATATTTCAAATCTGCATTTGCTTTGTGCTCTGCTGATCTAGTGTGCAGAAGGATTCTAGGAAGGCTGTCCATCCAGTCCCCAACTCCTCCTGTTGCCGGTGTCAGTCTGGCCCAACAGTCATTGTGAAATTTGAGCTAGGCATGTGCACCGCCAGCTGTGGTTCCCCTTTGCGTGACAGCCATATTTTCACATGTGAGTTTTTATTGCTGCCCCTTTGGCATTATTTACACTAAGTTTAAATTAGAGATGCCCAGTGGAATACAACATTCTTACTGTCTTCAAACAGAGCTGTACACTTTGATCAATGAGAGTATTTAAGGCATTTCACGAATTGACAAAACCAGAACAAAATGAAAGAGAAATGCTGAAGGTGTTCTCCTTGCCAGCAAGGAGCACAGGACAAGCAAGCTACTGTCTCCTAAGGAAAGCACACTTAGAACCCAAAGAAACACTGCTGCGGTCCCCCGACTTGTCCCTTCTCAGTCTTGGAAGTTGGTGCTCTGTGCGCTGTGAGCAATCTGCCTGCCGTTACCGTAACTGTGAGGATTCTATAACCGAAATGACACACCTAGAGCTGACCCTGTCAGGGGGGTGGGGGACAAAGGATCACACCCGAACTCCAGTGTGGAACCACAGCTGAATACAGTCTGCCGCCAAGGAAACCAGCACACACAGCTCAGTGCTTAATCTCCAGGAATATACATTTGCCAATGTTTTATCTCTAATGTAACTTAAATCCCCAAGCGCTTGTTTTTGTCTAGCCCACCTAGAATATCATTCTATCATGGGTGTCCCCACTCTCCTTTCTGGTTTGGTCACCCAAATCCCCAGTCGTAAGCTGTATCTAGACTAGTGACTCTAAATGACGTGTGGGAATACCGTTTCCATGTGGTCTGCTGTGTGGAGCGGATGCTACGTGATCATTTACTGTACAAAGAGAAGAGGCATTTCTGTACGGCGCCCTGCCTATCTAAACACCACGTCCTTGCCCAGAACACTGTGAAACACTTACCAAACAGCAAATGCAGCGTCTGGACTCTTCCTGAGAAGAACAGCTTTCTCCACATGAACACATGAACAAAAGAGATTTTCCATCTGCACCCAGCCAAGGCACCTCAGAGGTCACGGTGACAGCCTCCTAGCTAGCCAACACCTGCTGGAAACAGGAACCGCAGGTCCAAGCAACTGATCCTCAGGGGACGGGTCGGCAGCCAAAGCCTTAATGGGCTCTCTTTTGGAAGGGGAAAGAAAAAGAATTTCAAGTTAACAATATCCAACACTATTGTAGTTGATGAGTTAGTAAATTCCAAAAAGATGATTTTATATGTCTGACATTAAAAAAATATCTTTGTAAAGTGCGTAAGTGCAATAATTTAAAGAAGTCTTATCTTTACATTTATAAATTATAAATATTGTACATGTGTGTAATTTTTCATGTATTCATTTGCAGTCTTTGTATTTAAAAACCTTTACTGTTACGTTTGTATAATAGGACAGTAATCATTTATTATAACTCAGACAAGGTGTAAATAAATTCATAAATCAAACAGCCAGTATATATGCATATATGGATGTTACATTGCAAAATCTGTACCTTTGCTCTACCCACATGCTTAAAGCAGTAAGGAATCTTTTGTGGATATGTAATTATACATATAAAGTATATATATATGTATGATACATGAAATATATTTAGAAATGTTCATAATTTTAATGGATATTCTTTGGTGTGAATAATTGAATACAAAGTTTTTAAAATATCATCTCTCAAGTTTGCTCTCTTGTGTGTGGGGAAGACGGCAGATGCTTTGAGTAGCTCCCCCCTCTTCTTCCCGCAGACACTTGCTTTACTGGGAGACAACACAGACTGCCCCAAACACAGTCGGCCAAATGCTCTGTCTCTGTGGAGAGGGGCCAGGGGATAGCCTCTCTGTATAAACAATAAGTCTACTGCTCCGTGACCTTGTCAGGGCCTTTGCTTGCTAGTGTTTCGGTGACTTTACACAAGCCAGAGTTATCTGGGAGGAGGAGCTTCAACTGAGAAAATTTCTTAATAATTGGCTTGTAGGCAAGTCTGTAGGATGTTTGCTTGACTAACGACCTATGTGAGAAGGTCCAGCCCACTACTGGCGGCACCACCCCTGTGTAGGTGGTCCTGAGCATATAATAAATCAGATCAAGCCGTGGGAAGGAAGCAGGCCAGTAAGCAGTAATCCTCCATGGCCTCTGCATCAGCTCCTACATTCAGCTTCCTGGCCAGCTTGAGTTCCGACTTCCTTGGGGGATGGAGTGGGACCTGAGAGTCATAAACCCAAAGCAATGCATTCCTCCTCAACTTGCTTTTGACGACCATGTTGCTGACAGCCACAGAAACCCAAGACGAGGCAGATGGCCATGTCTACTACTCACGCCCACCCTCTTGTCCTGTCTGGCAGGGGCTGGCTTTCCTCTGTGGTTCCACACACGCACACACATACACATCCCACACCCAGACTCTGCGGTTGGTGACTATTGCTCCGTGGTAGGACATTTGTCTCCAAGGTAAGTGTTCCCTTGCACACCAGATTTTGACAACTGAGAAGCACCTCACAGTTGCTTTTCCACAGTGTTGGCTCTGGGTCAGGATTCACTGCTGAGGTCATAGGTCAAGAGCATAGGTCACGGTGGGCCGGGGCGAGCAGCAGCACCTCTGCTCTCCTGGCTTTCCACAGTGCAGGCGTGGATATTGCTGCTAAGGAGGCTCCTCCCTGGGAGAGCCCAGGTGTGCTGGTCCTTTCATCCCTCAGCCTTCAGAGGGCCCCCAGCATCACACAGAGAAAGAACATAGAACAACACGGGTAAACCAGCGATTTGCTTCCAGAAAAATCCAGTTTAGTTTTGACAGGTTGTACAGATAATAACTGAATATACTTCTTCAATCACTTTGATGGAGTATTTTAAACAGTAGGAGAGAGTTGGGGTTTTGCTGTCTTCTTAAGGCCTGGCAGGTATTCAACCCTTGATATTCTGATTTTGTTACCTAAGGGATAGCATGGCTACCATGACTTGGAAGAATTCTTTCTGGCTGGAGAAAAAAAAAAAGAGGCGATTGAGGTTGGTAGAGGTGTGCAAATCGGAGTTCTTTCCTCCCTGTACAGCCTTGAGTAAGTCAAAAGAAGGCTAGAATCTCCATTGGTGGCGCTATCACATAACACAGTACACCACAGCCCAGGGTTGCTTTAGTGTCCACTGCGCTCTGGGCTAGAACCAAGGACCATAGCAGGAGCACATTCATTTGGGACACCACAGGGAAGGGTTACCTTTTGTCCCCAGGCTCCATAATAAATCTGCTTAGTTGTTGTCTAATCCAAAGAATGTTTTGTTTTGAAAAGTTAAGCCAGTGAGCATCCTTCCTGCTCTCCCTGGCAGTACTCACAGGCCTGGCAGAGGAGCCATGGGAAATCTTGGTTCTCCTGCCACCCTGTGGCCAGGCCCCATATCTACCTTGTGGAGGAGGGGCTAAGAATGTTGATTGTTGCCACGGCAACTGCAGCCTTGACTCCCAACTGGTGACTAGAGGGGCAATGGCTAAGGATCTGGAACCGGACTGTAAGTTGTCTGTCTCCAAATTTGTGTGCTGACTTGGCTTAGGTGACATTTGATTGTCTGGGAAAGCCTGTTTCTCAGAAGTGGGTTTGAAAGTAGGAACCGTTCTGATGGCCAAAGGTCAGTGCCTGGATCAGGATGGTTTGCTTGGACCCAGAGGCACATTGCCCCTTCAGAGGCTTGAAGAAGCTGAGTTTCTGTCCACAACCGGGAGAAAAGGATCCCTGACTTCATTCAGTCAAGAGTCCAGCCCAGGAAACAGGGTGGAACTCTCCACCTCAATTAACCCATCGAGGAAAACCCCCAGGGCATAGCCACAGGGCAACCTCAGCTAGACAGTTTCTCTTGAGGGTTCCTTCAGGGAGTCTAGGCTGTGTCAAGGTTAAACTCAAAAGTAACCATCCCAGGGTGTCTGTGTTATGTTGTGGGATGTGTGTCAAAGTGTACGTGCGTGTGTGTGTGTGTGTGTGTGTGTGTGTGTGTGTGTGTGTTAGTATGTACGGTGCCCTGGAGGGAAATGGATGGAGGGACTCACTACTCTAGCTCAGTGTTTGCTTTCCCTAAAGTTGAGCTCAGAGCAACTTTCTGTACCACACTGCTGTCTTGGAACACAGCAGGTCAGAGAGACAGGCAGTCAGATGTCTTTTCTGAAGGTTAAATTCATTGAACACATAATAAAAGAGAGGAACAAATCCCATGAAATAAATCTAACAACCTAACAATTTCGCTCTACGTGATGACAGTGATATCCAGAGGCAGAGTTCACTCGTGGACAGTTGGTAGAGGTGGTGGCACCAAGGAGGTTACCAGTCTGAAGGCCCAGTGCCCAGCAGACCCCCACGTCCACACCCACTGGTGGGAAGGACGGTGGGTGGCTGCTAGCTCCACTACAGGCGTTCCTTGAAGGCGTCAGAGGCACAGGCACAGCTGCAGTTGTGCTTAGTCAGGTCGGCGTGGTGTGGGACGTTCATACCTACAGAGCCGGGCTATCGGCAAGTGATCCGGTGAGACGTGGTCATCCAAAGAACTGTTATGCCCTTGTCACTGAATTCCAAATGAATCCACAGAGCCAGCTATTGAAGCAAAGTGCGTGAGGGTCTTTGTTTAACAAACTCAAGTATGGACCACACTCTTCCAGCACACCAACTCAGTGGGTGAGGAGAGAGTGAGACCCCGTGCCCAGGGAGAGGAGAGCTTTTAAAGGAAAACTGCCACAATCAGCGTGGATGGATACACGTTTGGGGTCTTGGGATTGGTTGAAGGGGGTACAGAGTAAGGTGATTTCTGCAGCCGTTGGTCAAACTTTGGGTGTGAACTGTTAACAAAGGACCACAAATTGCTGTCAGGATGTCTGCAAGGATGAGGGTGTCTGCAGAAAACATCTGGAACTCCATAAGGTCTATGACCCTGCTCCTTAGCTCCTTAATTGGCTATTTCTAGGGTATCATTTAAATTCTGCTATCACAGCACGTTTCTGGAACTGAGGTTGGTCCCTGGTCACTAGATGGCTTAAGATGAAACCCCTTTTTTAAAATGGAGTCTGCAAAGTTAGGGCCTCACATGATCTCTTGTTGCTAGAGTATGTGAATAGTTGTTGTGTCCTGAGGTACATTGGAGACCAGTGTCTGCTGAGCCTCTTGGAGCCTGGGTTTGTATGACCCTGCTGAGGCTTTTCTTGTCTTTGCTGACCTTTGGGCCTCTGCTCCTGATTGGTGTGGATCACCTGATCCCAGCGTGTTGCTGTCAGCACATCCTCTGTCAGGACAGGGAGCAGGAGGGCCTCCATTTTGTTTTTGTGTTGATGTAAGTGTCCACTACGCTCATCCACTCACAGTCCACCCTCAGTGACCACGGAACACAGTTCTGAGTTCACAGTGTCCCAAGTGCTTTCTCAGTCCACGCTGCTCATGAGAACGGAAATAAAATCAGGAGCTGGTTAGATTGAGTAAAACAGTCTAAATTAATGTAATCTTCACACTAAAGGCTATTATTTGCATCTTGGCAAGCAAAAGAAGAAGAAAAAGAAAAAAATTATAAAGATATAGAGGGTATTTATTTGAATTGACACTATGTCTAACGACCCAATGTTATGTTGTCCTCATTAAAGAGCTTTCAAAAAGTCCTCTTGTTTTCCCTCAAAGCCAGGTTGTTTTCAGATAATTTGTGAGGGGTCTGCACTTCCCGAAGAGCAGTTCAAGCATTCGAGTCTTTTGAAGTTGGGCAGAGATGGTGGGAAGTGCAGATTGCTAGGCTGGTGACTTTGCACAGGCAAACAGAACATGTGGTAGCCAGTGTAAGATTCTGATAGAGAGAATGGCGCTTGGATTTGTCAACTATCACTGCAAGTCAGGTGAAACACAAGCTAAGTGAGCAATTCTCAACCTGTGGGTCAAGACTCCTTTGGGGGTGAACTATCTTTTTCCAGGGGTCACCTAAGACCACCTGTATAGCAGATATTTATATTACAATTCATAACAGAAGAATTAGTTATGGAGTAGCAGCAAAAATAATTTTATGGTTGGGAGTCACCACAACCTGAGGAACTGTATTCAAGGGTCACAGCATTAGAAAGGTTGTTCTAAGCAGAAAGAACTCACTGGTGGCTTTGGTGGTTTTGAGTCTTTCCTGGACATAAACTAACAGAAGAATGGCTCTGTAGCATTGGGAACCTCCCACTCCCATTCCTCACAGTTGGGGTCATTTTTCTTTCCTAATTTTTGTGTTCATACTTTGGAGGAAATTCAAGACTGTCAGTTTTGAAAGTCACATTAATATTTTGCCAGTCAAGGGCATTTCTTTGTAGTACCGACTAAAATCTTAAAAATTTCACTCTCAGAAGTGCTTGTTTAAATATTCAGCTGTTACCATTCACGCAGGAAGGAATATGGCTCATTTTCACACTGGGCTGTACTATGGTGACTGGGATCTGGGTTTGACCACATTCCCAAAGAGACAGAATTCTGAGATGGTCAGAGCTTCCTAAGTGCCTGGTAATATTCTTTAAAAAATAAATGTGTGCCCCGGCGGGCTCGCAGAGCAACCACTAGTCCGGGAGAGACAGCTGTGGGTCCGGGCAAGGTCCCCAGGGGCCATGTCAGAGCAGGCAAGAGCATGTCCCGGGCAGGCTGGCTGTGGGCAGGCAGGCAGGAGACAGAGATATGGACATGTAAAATGAGATTAAAATATTTATTCGGGGTTATGGAGGAAAAGGGGAGGGGGAAGAGGAAGAAAGGGAGAAGGAGGAGAGGGAGAGAAAGAAGGACAGAAACAGAGAAAAGGGGAGAGAAAAAAGACAGAAAACACGTGTGTGCATGCCAAGAGAGGGAACAGAAAAAGAGGCCAAGATGGCAAGGAGAGGTCAGAAGTTGCTGGGAGTGGGCATGGCTTGCCCCTTAAAGGGACCAAAGATCAAAAGGAATAACAGCTGGTGTGACTCCAGGCATCACTCCCGTGTCTGAAGAGGGAGGAGCTTTGGCGATGGTCCCATCCATGTCCTAAGGTCCCAAGAAAATGTAGCATCCTGGGAGCCTATTAACTAGAAGCAAAGGGTGGGAAGCCATTAGCCAGTCAGAGACGCAGGGTTTCTGAGTCAAAAATGATTGCTCTCCAAAAGGGAAAGCTACCTGGACCGTAGGTGTGTGTGTGTGTGTGTGTGTGTGTGTGTGTGTGTGTGTGTGTGTACAGAAGTAGATTCTGCCAATGCCTGGGAGTGAAATTCTCTGAGACTTCCAGCCCTGGGTCCCAGACCTGTGAGTGAGGGCAGAACACAGGACTTGGAACTTGGAGCTCTGGGCTTGTCTGATACACTCTGGTTACTATGAGACAGCTGGATCACTGCTGGCCTTCTGTTCTTCCCAGGATGTACCCTGAATTTTTAGGTGATGCTTTTAGACCAGCACTGGACACATACATGGGACTGCACTAGCCCAGGTCCTGAAGTCTTCAGTCTTCATGTCTCCCTTTGCTCAGGTAGTCAGGCAGCCAGCACGAACAGTCCAGCATCTGGTGGAGAGCTGTGCTTAGCAACCAGCTCTGCCCCTGGAAGGCTGGACCTGGAAGGATCTCATAAGCATCCCACAGCCCTCCTCATGATGGCCATGCAGCTACTTACAGATGGGTTAATCCTGAGGACTCCCAGCTATGACAAGTGATGGCTATTGGTACATCCTGGCCTGCTTTGAGTGAGGCTGCTCAAGTCTAAGGCAGACCTGACTGTTGGAGGAAGCTGCTTGTTGGTTCCTGGCTGCTCAGTCCGAAAATAATCACACAGAAACTGTATTATTTGCAATACTGTTTGGCCAATAGCTTTACCATATTTCTGGCTAATTCATATCCTAAATTAACCCATCTCTGTTCATCTGTGTATCGCCATGTGACAGTGGCTTACCGGCTAAAGTTCCCAGGATTTGTCTCCAGCTTCATCACTTCTCTCTGACTCTGCCTTTCTTTCTCTCAGCATTCCATTTCGTTTTCCCCGCCTAGCTCTGTTCCCCTCTAGCTCTGCTATAAGCACAAAGCAGTTCCTTTATTTGTCAGTGATAATCACAGCATATAGAAAGAAATCCCACATCACGTGACCCACCACCTGGAGCCTGAATCTCTATGGCTTGGGGACAAGAGAGGCCCCAACGTTACTGAAGGGGTGATGCTTGATTATTTATCCTCCAGGACCTTCCCAGAAGTCAATGCCTTGGTTTTGGTGACATCTGAGGACTCTGCCTTTGTGGTGGAAAATGATGCCTTGCAGATCTGTGTACACCTCTACTTGTGAATTTGTAAGGGGACATGAAACAAGAGAAGGGACTGTGGTCAGACTGTTTACTAGCTGTATTATGTGAGATGATCAGACTCATTTTCAGAGGAAGAATGCACTAGTTCAGAGTGAGAAGGTAATATAGGTCTGCATCCACATAGTTAGGACTGAATGGAGTCCAGGGCTCCCCAGACCATGGTGTCTTAGATCAGGTTCTCAGAGTCCTTCCACTGAAGCACAAGGAACAGAACTTGTCAACATGGGCACAGGAGAGGAAGAACTGAAGGGCAGGTCAGTCATTAGGGGCTGGGTGCACGGACCTTGGTCGTCTCTAGAGCAGCGGTTCTCAACCTTTCTAACGCCATGATTCTTTAATATAGTTCTGCAAGCTGTGAGGACCCCCAACCATAAAATGATCTTCCTTGCTACTTTATAACTATAATTTTGCCACTGTATGAACTGTAATGTAAACACCTGTGTTTTCAGACAGTCTTAGGCACCCCCGTGAAAAAGTCATTCGATTTTTAGGGGTCACAACTCACAGGTTGAGAAACACCACTTTGGTAATCGGAGGGGAGAATCAAACAAATAAGCAACCCCTGTCTATTCCTTGGCATGCCTTATGAATCACATTTAGAGGGGACCCTTTCATCCTTGCCAAGGAAAATTAGAACCTCATGTGAAAATTGCCTTCTAAGAGTAGTTTTGCTCATACTCGTAAGCAATGCTGTGTCACGTCAAAGCACTTCATCTCCTTTCTGGTTGATGTGCCTCCTTCCATTTCTTTGATAAAAAAATACCTGGCAAAAGCAAGTTTAGGGGTTAAAGAGTTTGCAGGGCTTACGATTCCAGACACCAGTCCATCACACCCCTGAAACCAAGGGGGCAGGAACTTCAAACAACCAGTCACATGGCACTGCAGTCAAGAGCAGAGGAGAAAGAACGCAATTGCCTTTCTTGTCCTTTGTGCTTTCTCTATGCCTGCACCATCTTGACCACTGAGCGTAGGGATTGGTGCCACCTGTAGTGGGTTGGCTCTTCCCAAGGTCATAAAGACAACCTGGGACAAATAAGACCTCAAGGCCAACCTGATCTGGACCCTCCCTTCTTGAGATTCCCGTCCCAGGTGATTTTACTGTGTTGTGCTGACAATTAAAACTACCCAGCTGGCCTTGGTGAACTCTCATTAGATCAGTCCCCTTGTATCAGTGGGTGATCGCACCCCTCGCGGTCCTGAGTTTTTTTCATGTTCTTCCTTTTTCTGCCCCTCATTTGGACCATGGGGGGCTCAGTCCGGTGCTCCAATGTGGGTCTCCATCTGTATCGCCATCCATCGTCAAATGAAGGATCTATGGTGATAAGCAAAATCTTCATCAGTATGGTTATAGGCCAAGGCCGGTTCAGGCACCTTCTCCTCTGTCTAGAGAACAGTCTGGGGATCTCTCCTTGGACCTGGGATCCCATTTATAATCAAGTCTCCTGTAAACCCTAAAATGACTCCCTTAGTAGTTGGACTGGGACTGAACGAGCATGTGATCCAACCAGATTTTCTGAATGTGGCCGGTTCTCTGAATGTGGCTGGTCCAGAGCCTTTCTGAAAAGCCACTGACAATGACACTGGGACTTGTTTCCTCTGCATATGCTGGATTTTTGGGATCCAGCCTGTTCGGATACTCACCTTCAGGGACCTGGAAGGAGTGGGGAGGAACTTGAACTTCCCACAGGGCTGGAAGCCCTGACTGCTCTTAGGGATGAAGAGGGAGGAGGAGGGGGAGGGGGGAGTGGGAGGGTGTTGGGAGGAGGGGCGGAAATGAAAACTTTCATTATTTAATAAACTTTAAAAAATAAAAGAACACACACACACACACACAAAAAAACAAAACTACCCAGCCCATTGCCCTTGGAGGATTGTGAGTTTTATGCTGATAAGACCCCCTGCAGCTCAGCCTCTAGTCCTTTACCCTCAGCTACACCTGAGGCGGCCACAGTTGTGTTTGTCTTACAAGGGCTGACCTTGTCCTCTCTGAAGACCTTGCCAGTGGCCGCAGGAGGGGCTCATGGTTGTGCTTTCTCTCCCGAGCAGTTTACCTGAAGTGGAAGCACTGTGAGACACGCGGTGTTAAGACTCTGTGCAACCTGAGGGAGCTCCTCTCCCGACTCCAGAAGGATCACAGGGATGATGTCTTTGTCTACACCTCTGGACACCTGAACCCCAACAAACTTTATAAGCCACCCCAGACTGTTACCCAGCACTGGCGCAATGCAAACCGACCAAGGGAGCAAACCAGGGTCTCCCCACCCTCTGTATCCAGAGACAAACAGTTAGCAAAGATGAAAGAGGAGTGGGCTTACTTCACCATCAACACAGCCCTGCACCCCGATGACACCCACAACACACAGCTGTTCCGGTATTTGAACCCACGTGTGATCACTTCCCATGCTTACAGAGAGGGCGTCGCCTTGAAGAAGTTTCCAGAGGATGAGGAGGACGACGAAGTCAGGGAAAGACCCGTGTTCTCGCGGGAAAGACACAGGAAGGAGGAGCTCAGGCTGCCTGAGATGAAAGTGCTCAAATACCCAGAGGTGACATCCAGTCGCCAGTGCTACAAGTCACCTCCAGGCAGGGATGTGTATCGCTATGTCAGCTCCTACCTAGCTGGTATAACAAAAGCTGACAGATACAACAAGTTCCTTAGCTTCCAGAAAGAAGTCTTGGCAAAGCAAGATCTCCTGAAGAACGATTTCACAGGGAGCAAGGTGGCTGTGAACCACGAGAACAAACTGAAGGAGGTAAGGGGAGTGGGGCTGATGCGCTCAACATGGGGCTAAAGTTTAGAGACCCTCGTGGGCCCGGACTCAACCTGCGGTACCTCAGTTACCTGTCCAGGCAGAATGCAACAGAGTGGTTGATGCCCCTAATACCCAGGATGGTCAATAAGAATTAAGGTGATGGGGAGGAAGGTGACATTTGGCAAGGATAAGCTGGAGGTGAATTTCATGATCAGCAATATTCAGTGATGGGTGGGGACAGCTTTGGAAACACTATCCAAGGTACTAACCACCCATAGAAGATGGGCAGGTGGAGCCCTGGCAGGAGAGCTGATACAGATGCTACTGGGTTAGGAATGATGGGGGTGTGCTGGTGGGGGCTGTGATGTGTGAAGTGACTGTGGTCTGAGAGGGAACCTTATTGACCAGGGCAGCAGACTGTGAGCAAGAATTCAAGGCAGGAGGGGAGAGAAGAGCCATCTATGTGTCAGAGAGCCAGAGCCTAGGGTTAGGAGCGAGAATTCTGTGAGAAAGGGAAGGGGCAGGGGAAGGGGGTAGAAGATGAACTTCTGAGTGCAGGAGGTAGGGGTGGAGAGAGAAAATGAGCAGACACAAACGCTCACAAGTGACCAGGCTCTGAGCAACTGTGGAAGGAAGGCTATCAGTGGCTTCCTGATTGCCACCCACTCTGCAGAGTCCAGCATCTGGATCGCCTTTTCCAACTGTACCCTCAGAAGGACAGACTGTTCTGAGAAGGACGTGGGGACCCTACCGCCTTTAGGGACTGACTGTGCGTCTTCCTTCCAGGAGCTTGAAAAGATATGCACTTGCAATCCTCAGCAGTTCAACCGGCTGCAGGTCTTTGGGGAAATCTTTGAGGATATTTGCAACAGCTCTTTGATCTTCGGGGACCTCCTGAAAGAGGTTAAGGTAACAAGGGGCATTTTCCTCGTCGTGGTTGAGAGCTATGCAGGAGAAACTGCATTCCTGAGAGGTCGCAGGCCTCACAGCAATGACACAGTTCCACAGAGGAAGTCATTAGTCAGAGGATCTGCTTCCTTCCTGTCCGTCATGGGAGCCGTGAGAAGCAAGCACTGATTAACTTGCTGTTTAGGCCTGTGACTGCCCACCACAGCTCCCCAGCTATGAGTTCAGAACAACGTGGCATATACACGTTCAGACTCTTAGACCTTGTGATTTTTGCCCTAAAAGTAGCTGTGTGGGATCCAGGTTGAAGCTGAGTTGTATAAAGCCTGTGTTAATTTTCTGCCATTGTGCTAAAATGCCCAGACTACGAACAAGATAGGAAAAGAAGGTCTTTATTTTAGACTGGGTTTCAGGGGGCTAGAGCCCATCGGGGCGGTGAGAAGTCATAGCAGCAGACAAGAAACATATGGCGGCAGAAGCTGGCCCCTCACATTGTTATCCGTGCACTGAAAGTGGAGAGAAATAACAGAAACTAGAGCCAGGCTATATGTACTTAAAGTCTGCCTTCAGTGACTCCCTTCTTTCCCTAGGCATCACCAACTGAAGGCTCCATTACATTCCTCAAAGTATCACCAACTCAGGCCCATGTGTTCAAATACATGACCTGTGGGGAACGGTCTCATCTCAACCAACACAAGGCCCGTGCTGTGCTCTGATTTCCCTGAGGACAAGGGGTGGATGAGGATGGCAGTGTTGCCGCTCATCTCCCGGGGCTCTTGCCCCATGACACATGGCAGGGATAGCATGGCTGGATGTGCATCAGGATGTTTTCCAACAGCATCTTGAACAGATCAGTAGCTGGTAGTCAATATAGGATTCAATGACAATTCAATGTTATAAATTTGTATGTGTGTGTATGTGTATGTGTGTGTTTTAACACATTGCATCAACAATTTTTAGACTTCATGCTTGAAGCAGTTTTAACTGAAATACTTAATACCTGTGGGATTTATGCATGCAAAAAAATAATACTTGGGGCTGGGTCATAACTCAGTGGGCAAAGTGCTTGCAGGACCTGGGTTTCAATAACCTGCACCCACATAAAACCTGAGTGTTATGATACACACATCTGAATCCCAGTGCTGGGGCAAGGCAGACATAAAAAGATCCCAGACTTGCTGGCCAATCTGTGAGCGAGCATAGGGTAGGTAATGCTAGAAGAAGCCTGATATCAGCTCTGACCCTTGTGTGCACACATGGATGCCTGTGCACATGTATATACACACCCACGTATTCCGCCCCCATACAAAAGCCCTTCCATTTGGTGACTTTTTTTCCCCCACAGGATGAATACGAACTCTACATGGCAGCTCTTCTGGACTCACAGCCCACAGCACAGTATAAGGTAGCAACCACCAGGAAGGGCCCCGAGTGAGCCTGTATGTTCATGGCTTCATACTTAGGAGCAATAGAGCACTCTCAATCTGGGAAGCCCCAGGTTATTTGTTCCTCTGTCATGCGAAATAACTGTTTTTTTTTTAGGGGGGTGATCTTCATATGAAGCTAAAGTATTATGGGTCAAGATTGTTGCTGTACATTGACACACAGCACGGGGTCATTCCCTAACCACAACCCACGTGACTAGGGAGGGGCATAAGTGGTACTGCAGTGATTCCCAGGAAATAGCATCCTGTTGTTACCCTGAGTGGGCCCATTGTCACAGCAGGTGTACCCAGAGCCACAACACAGATCTCAGTCTCCTCGTGTAACTGATGGCAGTTTTTCCCAACAGTCTCTGTAGGGTCAGTGGGTCATTAGGTCAATGTGCCCTAGTTCTAGTGAAAAATGTCCTATGGGAATGACAGACAGTCCAAAAGCTCCAAGAACCTGGCACCTTGAGATTAGTAACTATTTTGTGAAGTAGAAAATGTAATTTCTTTCTTTCTTTATATGTGTGTGTGTGTGTGTGTGTGTGTACGTACACTTAAGTATATATGTATGTATACACACACACACACACACACACACACATATATATATATATACCCTCTAGCATACAGAGTTCTAAATTACATCTTAATAAAACACACATGGACATTACATTCTGTATTCTGAGACTTTCAATGCTATGTAATAATAGGTTTTGAGGGCCTGGAGGGGGAGCGTCACAGTTCGGAGCACTGGCTGCTCTTGCAGAGGAGTCAGGTTCAGTTTACAGCACCCACATGGTAGTTCACAACCATTGTGACTTCAGTTCCAGGAGATCTGACCCCTGTTCTGACCTCCACAAACACTAGACATGCATGTGATAAAACAACATACATACAGGCAAAACCCTCATATACATACATGTTCAATCAATCAATCATCAATTAAATCAGCATTTTAAGTAAAATCAGGACTGAGAAGCGCCTACAGTCACAGGCCTTACTCCGAGGAATGGCAGAAAAGAAAAAATCACGCCCACATCTCAATCAGACACCCAAGCGAGGAACTGGCAAGCTTCTGGGACTCTCTCTTTCCATTCTCAAAGCCCAGAACCTAAAGAAACAAAAGCCTTTGTCACCCAGAATGAGCCCCAATTTCTTTATGTTTACATAAAGATAAGAGATTCAGATTGTCTATCACATTTTTGAAATAGTTGATAATGATGTACCCAGCCCTTTCTTCTTTGTCTTTTCCCAATCCAGTTCCACAAAGAAACCATGAATGCCCCTGCCATTCTTAAGAACTCTTAGAATGATAAAAATCTTGAATTATTATGAAGATTATTCTACTTGGAACTTTAGTATCATTTTGCTCCTTCCTCCAACTCTCCCAATGCACTCATTTAGGACACCTGGGCCACATATGAGCAAGAGCCCAGAGTGCCTTCTGCTCTCTCTGACCACCCTACCCTTTGTGTGCCTTGCTCCTGGCAGCGGCTCCTGTCAGAAGTTAAGGGTTTAGAGAAGAGCCCTGTACACAGCACAGACATTGAACAAGCCAAGGAGCAGCTGAGGAAGCTCGAGCAGGCTGCCCTAGCAGCCCTGGAGCAGAATGACAGGTAAGGAATCAGCTACATGGTGCTGGTGAAGTTTCCACTGATACTTAGCAAGACCTTGAAACTGTGATGCACAGTATCCACATTTTTCTGCATTTCCATGCATGATGTGCTACCTGTACCAACGTTGTCCTGTTAGCCAGGACTCTTTCACAAACAGTTGCGTGTCTGACTATGGTGCTGGACCTCATGCAAGCCTGTTGGAGGCCTCTGAAGGTCTCCTTGATTGGACTCAGGGTAGCTTGGCAAGAGAGAGCCTTCTGATTTTCTTAACTTAGAAAACCCTGAAATTTCTCTGTGGTGGTTTGAAAGAATATGGCCCCCAAAGGGAGTGGCACTGTTAGGAGGTGTGGCCTTGTCAGAGTAGGTGTGGGCTTGTTGCAGGAAGTGTGTCACTGTGAAGGCAGGCTTTGAGGTCTCATACATGCTCAAGTCACACCCAGTGAGACAGACCACTTCCTCTTGCCTGCAAATCAAGATGTAGGATCTTGGCTCCATCTACAAGCACCATGTCTGCCTGCATGCTGCCAAGTTCCACCATGATGATAACAGCCAAAACCTCTGAAATTGTAAGCCACCCCAATTAAATGTTTTCCTTTTTAAGAGTTGCTCTGATCATGATGGTGTCTCTTTATCGCAATAGAAATCCTAAGAAACTCTCTGAGCAGTTGTCTAAAGTGACATCACCATTGGGCAGAGCGTGTAATTTTTAAGAATTTACATATAAGACTATAGACGGTAGCCATTCTGAACCAACCCAACAAAATAGTCCTCAGAAGCAAAACACTGAATTTTCTGTCAATGTTAACAGACAGAGAAAGCTGTTGTCTCTTGTAACATCCGATTTTGTGTTACCCTCTCGGTACAGTTTGTGTGCCTCTGTACCGATTGTGAGTCCGGGCAAAGGCCTGGAGATTGAAAGAAACACACAAGAGACCTGGGTCATTCGAAAGGAGATCAGCCGAATGCTGCTTTATTTAATTTAGGGGAAAACCTATATACTAGGCTGTTGCATAAGGATATCCTCCTGGGCAGGTGGGAAATTACCATACCAAAGATGAAATAATGCCCTTTAACTAATCACCAGACTAGAACAAAAAAAAAACATAGAAACAAACAGGATGCTTAGTTAGCTGGCCAAAAACTGTCCTCAATATACATTCCAAAAAACAAGGGTAAACTGGGCCCTACAGTCTCTCACTGTAGTTTGGTCTAAAGTTCTTTCACAGCCTGGCTGCAATAGTTCCTGCCCTCCCCAGGGACATGGAGGACTGGCTGTGGATGTTGCATTGTGTCTTGCAGGTGATACTTCAGGTTTTGGCCTAATGTATAAGTGCCCCCTGTAGCCATGTGTCCCTCACATACGACTTTTAAACATTTGTACTATGACCTGTGTGCACTTCCTTCCATGAAGATAGTCACACTCTTAGAGGCCCTGAGTGGAGGAGTCAGGTCCAGGTGTGATCATATCAGACAATGAGGGGGGACCTAGGCAAGTCCTAAAACAAGGGAAGTTTTCTATCTATGAATCCCAGAGAAGAAGGCAACACACCCTGCAAGGACAATAGGAAGAGCGAAACATTGTAGACCATGTTAGACTTGGTGTCAGGTACGGAGAGGGACTGGGGGTGAGGCAGGACCTGCTTCAGAGTGCCATGCCAAATGTGTCTACCATGGGCTCCGAGCCTATCTGCCAGGCTCAGGGAAATCACAATGACTGAGGCTGGGGAGTAGACCAAGAGGGAGTCAATCCAGATCCCTAGCACCCATAGAAATTCAAGTTTGGTATGGTGGTTGCCCTGGAAACACATGTGGGAGGTGGAGACAGAGGATCCTCTGGTGCAGCAGCCTAGCTAGACAAGCTGAATACTTAGCTTTGGTTCAAGTGAGAGATCCTGTTTTAGTGTATAGAGAGTGATCAAGAATGATGCCTGACATCAACCCCAGGCCTTCACTGGTATGTGTGTTACAGGCACATCCACACTGTCATACACAAGTGTATCCACATTCATGCACACACACACATGTGCTAATGCACACATACATGCACACTCACTGGCAGGCACACATGCACGCATATGCACACACACACACAGACATGCACTAATGTGCACATATATGCATACACATGCACACTCACCAGCAGGAACACACATGTGCACATACACGCATGCAAGACTTGTGTTATAAAATGGTCAGGTGCAATAAGGCCCAAGCAGGGCTTGCAGTTGTATGACTGCTTTCCTATCGATTTTTAGACTCAGAAATGAACTGGAGGCGGAGAGCCTGTTGCTGCAGTCTGCTAAGGAGAAATCAGGTGAGTGCCTTCCAGAGCTGCCAGCTGCCTTTCTAGTATCTTCTCTGTGTGTCTTGGTCCACCTCCCTTTCCTCCTTCACCATACACCTACCTAATTCCTACTCCCACTTCAGCCTCCGGTTCCTCAGTCTTTAGCAGATTCTCCTTAAACCTGAACAAACTGCTTGGTGCTCACACTGGTCTCCCCAGGGCGCTGTGCACCCCTCCCCGCTCCATCCTTTCATGCAGTTTCTCAAAAGTGTGCACTGAGAGAAAACTAACCTGGTAGAGGTTCTGTCATCATTCACAACTGCCCCTTCCCACTTAGCCTGGAGTCTGCAAGGCAAGGCATCCACCATGTATGCAACCACGTTGAGAGGAATATCCTATTTATTCAGAACAGTTCATTTTTATTAATGTGCTTGAGTTATATGATATAGCTAATATATACATATATAGTTACACTACCGCTATATGTAACATATGACATCATACACCCAGCATTCTTAACAAGTGTTGAGATATTAAACAGAGTAACTGCTTTCAAAACTATCTCCAGAATCTTTTGATAGAAACAAAAATGATGAGGACCAACTTACTCTGATTGAGAAGGTTGAGAAGAGGAGATGCGAAATCCTTGAAAAATGGGATGAGATTAAAGCACTTGAGAAACATATTAAGGAAACGATGGTGCATTCAAGAGTGTCGGATATCACTGAGAATGGGATTAAAAGTGTAGAGGTATGCAAATTATTCACGTAAAGATTTCCTTTATTATTATTATTTTTTTTCGCTTAACGATACCCACAAAACAATTTGATTCAGGGTGAAATCTAAAGAAGCTTAGTCCTAAATATGCTTTCACCTCAGAAGGTATAGTGACTACACAGAGCAGTGAAGGCCTAGCGAAAACAAAAACAAAGGAGACATGAGTTTGTGGAGCCCTGTGAGTACTGGCACGGAACTTGTGTGAAGCGTGACCTAGTAGGGCCTCTTGTGGCTAGTTCCATATATTTTAGCAGTGCTGTGTGTTCTGTTTATAATGCAGAATAAGACTTGCAAAATACATAGAAGGGTGGTGTTGCTCTAAATCATGGGTGGGAATGCTGGGTATTAACTGAACACTGTTCCTGTAGCTATTCGGTGTAGCTACCTGGAGGATCAAGCCATGCTAACAATCAGTTATTGATGCTACTGTGTGTGTTATTTATGGATGCAAGCATACCTGGACGATGCTGTGGACTGGTTTCCAGACACCACCAGAAATCAAACACTATGATTAGATGGGTTGCAAGAATTATTCGATTTCTCAGTGCATGTAAACTTGTGATTAAATTCTATGACAGACAACTTCATGCTTAACAACACACTGTTTTAAGTACAAAGAAAAATAAACCATCTCTGCAACATGCTGAAGTTCACTGGGGCTATTGGACGTGCTTGATACAGGCTTGTCACCAACCTTCAATTCCTAAGAAAAGAAAGCAAAATTTGTCCAGCATGATAAAGCAAAGTGTATAAAGTAAAATATATGTGTACTATTTTGTTGATTTGAGACAGGTGCCATGTAACCCATGTGACCTCAAAGCTAAGGATGACCTTGAACTCCTAATCTTCCTGCCTCCACTCCCCAAGTACTGGGTTAAAAGTATGCTTTCATTCCGTTCTTCTGCATTTATGACTCCCCTTGTTTCTAGAAACAGATAACTGAGGAGTTCTACTGGGTTCAGTGTCTACAGGCTCTTTCCCACTATAGCGTCTCTTAGTTAATGATTCTAATACCTATTTTTTGTTTTCCTTTTATGGAAAATAGATTTTTAAAATCACACACTAATCCTGACTATGGTTTTCTCTCCCTCTGCTTCTTCCAGTTCCCTCCTACATCCCCTCCCATCTGGATATACCTCCTTTCTGTCTCTCATTAGAAAACAAATAGACTTCTATGGGGAAAATACTGAAATAAAGTATAATAAGATGAAGCAAAAACTAACACATCAAGGTTGAACAAAAAACCAAACAGAAGGAAAATGGTCCAAGAAAAGGTACAAGAAAAAGAGACCCATTTACTCACACACTCAGGAATATCATCAAAATACTAATCTGGAAGCCATAATGTGTACACAAAGACTCTGTAGGGTAAAGAGAGAGAAGAAAAGCATATAAATAAAAATAAAAGCTAAGATTGAAAGAACAGAAAGAACCCTGACACAGCATTGTGAGACAGGGAACCTCCAGTGCTGCTGCTGAGTTTTCTGTTGTTGTCTACTGCAGGGCATTTGAATTTCCTCTTTGGAGAATTCTGTTTATATCAGTACGACATCTTGAATGGGTTATTTGTTTTCTTGATATCTAGAATTTTTTAGTTTTTTGTATATTTTGGATATATCAGATATATAGTTGATAAAAATCTTTTCCCATTCTGTAGGCAGCCATTTTGTCCACTTGATGGTGTCCTTTGCTGTGCAGAAACTTTTCAGTATCATGAGGTTCCATTTATTAATTGTTGATCTTAGTGTCTGTGCTGTCAGTGATCTGTTCAGGAAGTCTTTTCCTGTCCTAATGCATTCAAGGCTATTTCCCCACCTTCTCTTCTATTAGGTTAAGTGCCTCTGGTTTTATGTTGAGGTCTGTGATCCACTTGGACTTGAGTTTTATGCAGGGTAATAATATGAATCCATTTGCATTCTTCTACATACAGCCATTTGGTTTGATTAGGACTATTTGTTGAAGATACTGCCTTTTGTTCCAGTGTGTATGTCTGTGTTTTCATTATAAAAAAAATCAGGTGTCCATAGGTGTGTGGGTTTATGTCTGGGACTTCAATTTAATACTCTTGATAAATGTCTGTTTTTATGCCAATACCATTCTATTTTTTTAAAAAAATTACTATAGCTTTGTTGTATAATTTGAGATCAGAAATGGTTAGATCTCAAGCAGTTTTTTATTGTTTAGGTTTGTTTAACTCTCCTGTTTGTGTGTGTGTGTGTGGTGTGTATGTGTGTGTGTTTCCATATGAAGCTGAGAATAGTCCTTTCAAAATCTATGAAGAATTGTGTTGGAATTTTGATGAGTATTGCACTGAATCTGTAGATTGCTTTTGGTAGGATGGCCATTTTTACTATGTTAATTCAATTCATGGACATGGGAGATCTTTTCATCTTCTGGTATTTTCTTCAAAGACTTGAAGTTTAAACATACAAGTCTTTCATTTGCTTGACTAGAGTTATTCCAAGATATTTTATATTATTTGAGGTTATATGACAGGTTTGTTTACCTTATTTCTTTCTTAGTCTGATTGTTACTTGTATAACGAACAGTTACTGATTTTTGTCAGTTAATTATGTATCCAGTTAATTTATTGGAAGTGTTTGTTAACTGTAGGTATCTCCAGTTAGAGATTTTAGGATCATTTATGTATACTATCATATCTTCTTCAAATAAAGATACTTTGACTTCATCCTTTCCATTTGTATATCCTTAATTTCCTTCATTGTCTTATTGTTTTAGCTAAGACTTCAAATATTACATTGGTTAGGTACAGAGAGAGTAGACAAACTTGCTTGTTCCTGATTTTAATGGAATTTCTTTGAGCTTCTCTGCATTTAAGTTGATACTGGTTATGAGATTGCTGTAAACTACCTTTACTTGTCTAGGTATAACCCTTGCATTCCCAATTTCTCCAAAAGATTGTATCATGAAGGTGGTGTTAGATTTTGTTAAACACATCTAATGAAGCAACTACGTGGTGTCTTTCTATAAGATTTTCATGTAGTAGATTAGATTTATTGATATTCACATACTGAACCATCCCTGCATCTCTGGGATGAAGTCTGCTTGATTATGATGTATAGCTATCTTTGATGAAACCATTAGAAATATTCACAGGTCAAGAAATTCAGAGTTTACAAAAGACAGTAATACATATATTTGAAACTGCTGAAGAACTTGTCAGAACTAATAAGCAAGTAGATAAGGTACAAACAAAAGACCATAATAAAGATTTAGCATCACCAGTATCTCTCAGAGACAGAGACAACTTATTAAGTGTTTTAGCTCCTTATCCTGTTACTATTTCTGAAAAGCCAACAATGGATCCTCCTCATAGGTGTCTATATAGTTGTATATTATTTGTGTTTTGAGAAATAAAGGTTGCCTGAAGATCAGAGGGCAAAGCAGCCACACTAGTCAGCCATACAGGCCAAGGAGTGATGGCACACACCTTTAATCCCAAAACCTGGGGGACAGAGGCAGACAAATCTTTGTGAGTTCAAGGCTACCCTGGGCTACATGAGATTAATCCAGAAACAGATCTAGTGGTCGTGGCTCACATTTTTAATCCCATCATTTGGGAGTCACACACCTTTAATACCAAAACTAGGAAGGTGGAGACAGGAATGATATGTCTGGGTGAAGAGAGGAATATAAAGGGGAAGATACAGGAACTTACTGGAGTGTGGGTCTGAGGATTTGTGGATAGAGGATCTCGCCCCTTTGGTCTGGAGATTTGGCAAAGGTAAAAGGTCTCTCTTGTGATTGACTGCTTTGCTTTTCTAATCCTCAGGTTGAAACCCCCTCCCCAAGAAAAGCCAGCAAATAGTAAACACTCAAAAGGATATATAGAATGTAAATGGGAACCTGTATGTATGAAAGAGCTAAAAGATATTAAGCAAGCAGTAGTATCTTATTGCATGCATTCACCATATGTGAGGCAGTTGGTAAAGACATGGACTTCAAGAAATAAGATTACTCCTCATGATTGACTTCAGTTACTCTCAGCCGTATTAGAACATGGTCCACAGCTGCAGTGGAAGAGTTATGGGAGAGAGGAAGTTAAGCTCTTGAACATCAAGGTAAAGTCACAGGTTTTTAGGCCTCCCAAGATAAAATTCTTGGTGAGGGCTCTTATGCTGATCTGGATAGTCAAGGTATAAACAATGAATACACTTTGCTCCATGCTGCACAGCAGCCTTGAATGCTTGGGACAAGATTCAAGAACTAGAAAAATTAATTGATTCATATACTAAGGTTATACAAGGCCCAAGAGAAACATTTAATGACTTTTTGCAAAGACTAACTGAAGCTGTAAAAATAGGGGTAACAGATTCAGAAGTTTGATGAGTACTCATTGAATCTCTGGCTTTGAAAATGCTATCTTAGAATGCAGAAAAGATACTTAGGTACTTAAAAGTCAGATTATCACCAATAGATGATTGGATCCTACACACAGTCAATGTTGAGTCCTTTGACTACAACACTGAGGCTTGAGTAGGAAAAGCAATTTTCAAAGGTATGAAGAGACGCCAAAATACCAAATATTTTACTTGTGGTAGAATAGGCCATCTGAAAAGGGATTCTAGACAGGGTGTTCCTTGAAATAATGTTTCTTCTTAGAGTGACCCAAATAGAAGGCCTCAATTTTCTGGATTATGCAGAAGATGTGATAAAGGCCAACACTGGACCAATGAATGTAGATCAATAAGAGACAAACAATGCGACCCGGTAACATTTGAAAACTCTTTGGGGGGCCTCTTGCATGCCCCCAAGGTCAAATGTGCAGACGTTCCCAGTCACTGTGGAGGACATGACTCTTCAGGAAAATTAGAAAATCCAATACCCATTGTAAAAAAAAAAAACCATACTACTCTGGATGATAGAATAACCATGGAGGGTGAATAAAAAATTCCAATAGGAAACAAAAATCACATATTTTGGCAGACTTCTATAAAGAATCTAAGACCAAAACTGAGAGTATGAATAAATAGCATTATTATATAAAGGTACAGATGTGACAATGGAATACTCAGATTAACATTTCTACATTCTCAGAAATATACCATAAACCAACTCATATTTCTAGGAATAATATTATTAGCTACTGTAAAAAACCATCACTGACAATTCAGGCTGTACAAAAACATAGAACAACTGGCAAACACTCAGAGGTACCAATGGCCTTACTCTTAAAATGGTTGACAGACAAACCTATATATAAGAAATGGCCTTTAATGATAGAGGAACTATAGGAATTAGAACAGTTGGTATAGGAGCAGATAGATGCTCAGCATATTGAAGAATTATTCACCCTTTGGAATTCTCCTTTGTTGCCAAAAAGAAATCTGGAAAATGGAGAATGGTAACAGATCTTAGAGCTTTTAATAAGGTGATTTAGTCAATGGGCTCCCTACAATCTGGAATTCCTTTGTCTTCTATATTGCCTAAAGGAGGGCCTCTTATAGTTATTGGTTTAAAAGATTGTTTCTTCACTATATCTTTAAGAAAAGGACATAGATAAATTTGCCTTCATAGTGCCTACTTATAGTAATTTTCAGCCTGTTAAAGGATATCAATAGAAGATTCTCCCATGGAAAATATTAGCTAGCTCCACTAGCTATTTTTGTAAGTCAGCCTTTGGAAATGATATGTAAGCAATTTTCTAAATTTGTAGTTTAATATTACATGGACATTTTATTCTCTGATTCAAATCTAGATACTTTAGAAAAAATGTTTGCAGAACATTGCCTTGTATGGACTACAAATTGCTCCTGAAAAAATACAAAGAGGAGATCCTATAAATTATTTAGGTTATAAAGTAGGTTTACAGAAATTTAGACCATAAGAAATCAAAATTAGGAGAGATCAATTGCAGACTCTTAATCACTTTCACAGAGTGCTAGGAGACATTTTCAATCTATGGCTCACTATTTGGATAAAAGTTGATGAACCTATGAATTTAAACAAAACCTTAGATTGTGACAAGTGCTTAAATAATCCCAGGGAAATACCAGCTGAAGTTGAGAGAGAATTTACTTTGATTGGAGAGAAATTATGGAAGGCACATGTAGGTCATGTGAATCCAAATCTTAACTGCATTCTGATCATATTACCCTCTTAACAATTCTCTACAGAAATTTTAATGAAGAGGGAAGATATTATCTTAGAATGGAACTTTCAACCACATAAACCAAGTAAAAAATTTAAAAATGTATATGGAAAAGGTCTCTGAGTTATTATAAAAGGAAAATTGAGACTTCATCAATTTTCAGGAATAGATCCTGCAGAAATTGTAGTGCCATTCACTAATGATGAAATTAACAGATTACAGAAAGAAGGTAAATGTTGGCAAAGAGCTTGTAGTAAGTTTTTGGGGAGTGATTAGCAACAGCTATCCCAAAAAGTGAGAGAACTTGACTTATAAAGAGAGCTAATTGGTTCCTTTCTCACACTGTATGGGGCACACCAGTAACTGGAGCCCCTACATTCTATACTGATGCAAATAAATCAAGAAAGGCAGGTTACAAATCAGAAAATCAAAGTAAATTGGAACAAAGCCCTTATGATTCTGTCTAAAAGTCAGAATTATGCTAATTTTATTGTACTAAGGGATTTTAAAGAATCTCTCAAAATAGTTACTGATTCACAATATGAAGAAAGAATTGTTTTGCATACAGAAACCACTAAATTTATACCAGATGATACAAAACTGACTTTATTATTTATTCAAGTATATGATATAATCAGAAGTAGGCATCATCCCATGTTCATATCACACATCCAATCTAATATGGGTCTTCCAGGTCCTCTAGCACAAAAATTAGGAAAATTAAAATATGTACATCACACCATTGATGCCTATTCGGGTTTTAAATGGGCAACTGCTTTGAATTCAGAAACAGCTGATTCAGTAATCACACATTTGCTAAAAGTTAAGGCCATCATTGGTATACCTGTAAAAATAAAAACAGACAATGCCCCAGCTAAGAAAATGAAATAGATTTTTTCTTATTATAATACAAAGCACATTATAGGTATAATAAACAATCCTGTAGGTCAGTAAGTTAGAGAAAGATCAAACTATAAAGAATATGTCAAAAAATAAAAAGGATGGTAAATACACTCCCAAAATAGATTGCCTAATGCTTTATTATCCTTGAATTTTCTTATGGTTATGAGAAAGGAACAACAACTGGAGAAAGCCATTGGGCAATAGAGAAAACTTTTGAACTAAATCAGTCAGTGTATTTCAAGGATGTGTTGACCTCAGAATGGAAACCTGGAGATGTGCTACACTGGGGCAGGTGTTTTGCTCTTGTTTCCACATAAAAAGAAAAGCTATGGATGCCATCAAAATTAATCAAGATTCAGTTTGAAAAGGAGAAATATCTTGATAAGAGAAATGAAAGCTCCTTCACTGAGGGGACAATTATACAAGTTGTAAGGAAATATCACAAGAGTTATGACAGGGTTCTGTTCTTATCTTCGCAGTAAAACAGAAAGTATCCATTTTTGAGAAGTCAAAAGACCTTGGACATCTATATGCCTAAAGAAGAAAATATAGCTAATCAGAAAAATCCAAAGCAAAGAAAAATCTAACTTATGATACTAGTATTCTCTGTAGGGTAAAATCTTACTACCTAAACATACATATCTTCTTACTTCTCAATATAATGGTAGTCCCAACTCACTTACAAATTAAAGCTGGCTTTGGAGTTGAACTGTGGCTCTCCTTCTCTAAGTCTTAGTATGTTGTTTAAAGAAAAATTCAGAGTTTCTGTCTCATATCAGGAGAGCCACCTGGTATGGGACAGAAGAAAGGTAAAAACCTAGTAACTAAGGTTATCAAAACTCTGCTTTCAAAAATTCTACTACCCCCATACCTATTTTTGTCTCTGTGGTACCTTTCTTTATTCATATCTATCAATTCAAACTTTCCATTTTGTTGTGAACAATGTTTAATTTTTCCATTTTCCTAGAGTAATCTCTGAAGTCTCCAAGAAGAAGATGGGGTGGCACAACTGATTCCACTTGGTTCATATAATGTCATTTAGCTGAATATACCACTCAGTGATCAACTTTGGACTACAGACTGCTCAGAATAATTTCAAGTGGTTAGCAGAGATGATCCAGTCTAGCAGACTGCTCTAGCCAGGACTTGAGACAAGCCTGGCACTTTCCCATTACCCATAGATTAAACAAAAAATGATATAGCTACCTCTCCAGAACCTGACAACTCAAATTGTTTTTTCAGGATACCCTAAAGATACTGTAACCCCCAGACAGAAGGAAGTAAATTTAAGAGTACAATGTGTACATTCTTAAAAAATGGGGTGGGTAGTTTTTGGTTGCTCAATGGATTATGGATATTTGTTATTGTTTAGGGTGATAGTTTCAAGTTATAATTGGTAATGGTCAGGAAAACACTAAACAAAGGAAATTAGATTCAAGTTTCTCATTTTGAAGAGAAAAAGGGGGATATAGATATGATAGAATAAAAGGGTAGATTATTGAATCTACTCTGAAAAGAAAATGGTGGATATAGATAAAAGATAAAAAGATAGATTATTAAATTTACTTTTAAAAAGCAGCTACTAGTTTTAAACAATTTACGTTGGATTAAACTCTTGTTTATTGTATACAAATTTGTATATTTATACAAATTTGAGAATAATTTTATTAGAACGTACTGCATATATATTTCTACTCTGTTCAAGGTATTATGCCTATACAACTCATTTAACAATTCAATACAAATTTCTAGTCCTTGAAAATTATTATTAACAACTGCTTTGGATAATAAGGAAATAAAAAGTTAGTGATTAATCATCTATTGTAATTGAATTTGTAGTCACATTAGGTATGTTTTCAAGGTCAAATAAATTCATATTTTAGATAGACAGGTCATCTTCAAACATTTCAGAGAACTACAGAATATGGCATTTAAGATGTTTTAATAACATAGTTTCTTTTTTTATGACAATGAGACATATCTGCTCCTGGCAGCACCAATCTACTTCAGTAAAGGAAATGGGCATCTAAGAAACTCCACATGGAGTTTACTTACTTTGTGGCAAAAGTAAGCAACTGGGCAAGAAAATGCCCTTGCCTTGACTGCTTTCCTAACTGGACAAGCAGGACACAAAAGAAAGTGAGTGCTAAACATTGTCAAGACAAGGAGGGACAGCCCTTCGGATTATCCCACCTCACAGAAAAGTCTATTGAATATGCTTGGCTTGTAGGCCAAAGACAGAGGCCCCAATGCTGCAGAAGAACTTCAGGTGACTGTCCAGGCAGCCAGCGGGTTCTGCCATTTCTCACATTTTTCAGAAGTAGCTTGCTCACACTTCCTGCTTACTCAGTTAATAATATTTCCTTCTTGTGTCTCTGAGGGAGTTGAAGGTTAAGTCGTTATAGTTTACCAGATGCAAAAGCAAGTTATGATAGAAAGTGAATTAGGTATAAGGCTTTGAACTCACCAAGATAGGATAGATATGAAGTATTTTCTCTGAATCTGCCAAATGCAAATGAACTAGACATTGTTGATGTACTTATTGCCTGTGTAAGTATATAGTCATTGTATCTATTGTATATAGTTTTTCTTATATTAGTGATAGCCTTTCTTTTTTATATTAGATAAAAAGGGAAAATGTAGTGATATTTCATTTGTATTTAAATAAATAAAACTTGCCTGAAGTTCAGAGATTGAAACAGCTCCACTAGTCAGTCTTACACACCAGACAGTGGTAAAACACACCTTTAATCCCAGTAGCCACACTAGTTGCATAAAAACTAGGTGGTAGTGGTGCATGCTTTTAATCCTAGACCTAGAGGGGCTGGGAAGAGACAACTCTCAGACAGTCTCATTCTGAGATTCCTGAAGGCAGGATCACCATTTTCAAACTGAGTTGGAGGTAAGAGCCAGTGATTGGCTGTTTTGCTTTTCTGTCCTTCAGGTTAAACCTAATTTCTTTTTCTGTGTTTTTATTTATCATGCTACAGTGTGGATGATCTTTTTGTAATAACCTCTTGTATTGTTTGCAAATATTTTATTGAGAGTTTTGCATCAATATTCATAAGGGTAATTGGTCTCTAGTTTTCTCTGTGGGTCTTTGTGTGGTTTGGGTATCTGTAATTGCAGTCTCATAATGGATTGGGCAATGTTCTTTCATTTCCAGATTTCCCTCAGTTTGGGTTCTCTTTATTGATTTTTACTTCTATCTTGAACTGTTTTGTTCATTTCCTCCCATTGTTGTTTTCCCATAGGTTTCTTTAAAAGTTTACTTATTTCCTCTTTAAGAACCTCTATCATATTTGCAAAGGCTAGTTTACGGTCTTTCCGTGTGTGCTTTAGCTACGTTGCAATACTGAGGGCCTTCGGCAGTAGGGTTGTTGGGCTCTGGTGGCAACATATTGTGGTAGCTGTTTGTATTGTGTTTTAATGTTGGCCTCTAGGCATGTGGATTTGGGAAGATTATAATTCTAGGTGCTGATATCTGGTCTTGCCTTGGTTGGGTAGATGTTTTGTTTCTTGGTTTCTGTTTCCCTCTCTGGTTCTGGAGAGGGTGGTGGTTGTGTGTTGCATGGTAAGAAGTTCTTGTGGGATCCTCTAGGGTGGCTACTGGTAAGCTGTGTTTTCTAGGTCTTGGAGCTGACACTTAGGAATGGGTATGGGTATGTATTAGCAGGGGTGGGACTGAGGGGGTCTAAAGGAGGGAGGAAGGTGGGGCATTCCCCCAGGATCTGTTTAGTTCCCTGGGAATGGAGGCAGAGCATGATGACAGGCCATGAGAGGTAGCCTGCTCTACAGCTGGGGATAAGACTTGGGGATTAGCTATGGAGGAGAGGAGGGGGAATGATGATCTGAACCTCACCTACCTGCTTTCCTGGCATACTTGCTTCTCTGACAGGCTTGACTGGCAGATTCCCAGGGTAAGCCTGCTGGAGTTGCAGGATGAGTGGGGAGGAGAGTAGGAGAAGACCTGTGTGATGTGCTGGAGATAGGTAGAGAAGGATGGCAGGCTGAAGCAGGAGACTGTTACAGAGAAGAGAAGAAAGCCTATAGCTTCCCTGGGAAAGCTGCTGGAGTTGGGGTGGGGCTGGCGGGAGGGAAATTAGGAGGGGAAGGTCTGTGTGAGCAGCTAGAGGTGAGGGGTGTGGAGGCTGCAGAAAGTGGTCTGTTACAGAGATGAGGATGAGATGGGGGATTAGATTTGGAGGAGCACAGGGAGAGATGAAGACCTGCAGTTAGCCTACCTCCTTGCCTGACCAGAGTAAATGTCTTTTTCAAAAGTGATGTGGTACTGAGCATGCTTAAATTTACAACCAAGCCTGTCTCATAATGTTTCTTTAATTTCATAAATAAAGCCTTAACCGTTTCTTTTAAAACCATTTGCTTTCAGAATGAAGCTTTAAAATCGGAAACAACCAACAGAATCTTAAAGAAGAAAATAAAAGTAAGATGTCATTTTAATATGCAAATCTGTAGAAAAATTTCCTGACGTGTCTGCTTGCCTGTGTCATAAGTCACCCAAAAATGCCTGCTTTCTTCTTATAGAATAGCCATCTACTGTGTTTGCTGTGTCTGGCTGTGAAGGCTTCAGCCTAGAGCTGGACTCTTGTGAGCAAGTGTATTAGTGAAGACGCACTACATTGTGATGACGATCATAACTGCATCTCTCTCTAACTTATCCACGCACCTTGCCATCAGAGCAATGAACACTATAGCCAGTAAGGAGTGGAACACTCCAAACACACAGGGACAATCACCGCTTACAACATAGTTCTGCACACCCTGGCTGTGTGTACCTCTGAGCTGTGCAGGGTGTGGTTAGTGTCCTATACCTGGTAGAGCCACCAGTTCTGATTCTGTCTGATTGCCATTATGCATGACCAACTTTGTGGTGTTCTAGATGATTGGAAGATTTTCATATCTCTGCAGGTTATCGAAAACCAAGTCAAGCAGCTCATAAAAAAGAGTAAGATCGGCGAAGAGGAGAGGCAGTAAGCATTGATACTGTGTTCTGAAATGTGTATGTGTGTGAATGTGCCTTTCCATAACTGTGGGCACACGTGTGTGCAGATGGAGATGTGCACACGAGGCCCCAGGTTACTGTGGGGATTCTTTCTCATTTATTTTAACTTATTTGTTGAGGCAGAGTCTCTCATTTGAACCCAGAGGTCACTGACAGGATTAGTCTCATGAGGCAGCTTGCCCCAAAGGTCCATCTCTCCCTTCTGAGTGTTGGGATTTGCGGTGGGGTTGCCTCAGTGCCTACCTGGTATTTACATGAGTTCCGGGGGTATGAACTCTGGTCCTTAAATTTGGTGGATGTGCTTTGCCCACTGAGAGATCTCCCCAGCCCTGTGCCAAATACTGTGCTGGTAAGGGCTCGAGTGCTTGAGAAATTGTTCACTTGAGAGGAGACGGGACTTTGGCAGCCCTGATGAGCGTTTGCTTTAAATGCACGTGCCTTGTCTCATGTGATCAGTTGAAGATCTAGACACCAACATGTACATTTTCTCTAACCATATGCAAATAATTTCACTAGAAGAAGCTAAAGGATTGGGAAGATTCTCAGGGGTAAGGACCAGAAATATGGTATGGGGATAGCATGTGGCTTTGGGTGGCAATCTTTGCTCAGATTACAGGGCTTTTAATGGTAATGAAAACATAATGAAATCCTGTATACATCTAAACTCTCAATTTAAAAAGTAAATGGGAGCCAGTGGAGAGGCTCAGCTGGTAAATGTACTTATCCCTAAGGCTGAATTGGCCTTTGACTCCTACATGGCAGAAAGGGGCTGACTTCTACAAGTTCTCCTCTGGCCTCAACAATGCACCTTGACCTGGGCCCAGCAGTGTCTTGCTTCCCTAACTTCCTGTGCATCTGTGTTTTTCTGTGGACTCCCACAGTGGCTATTTCTAGGCATTGGGTCTGTGTTACAAGGCAAAGGACAAAGAGCCCTTTTTCTCTCTGAGGCTCATTTATTTATTATTTATTTATTTTTCCTGATGTAGAAAGACGGTCTCTTTCAGGCACCTCCTCATACATCTCTGGCTAGCATGAGGTTCCGACAGGCTGTAGTCGTAGGGAAGGGCAGAAATCAGGGGCTATGCTTTCCCTCTCACGTGGTAGAGGAATGTGCAGTGAGAACCTGGACCGCTCTCCCAGCTCCTTATGCTGTTCCAGAAGTGAGCAAAGGGCAGTCACGGTTGCACAGACCCCACTCTGACTAATGGATGGGTTAGAAGGTGGGTCATCCGCATGGTATCGTTAGCCCAGAAGATGCTGTAGGGGGTACCCCTCAGGTCCTAGAGAAACCCTACGGCATTCAAGGCCGAGTCTCGTATGATGAAATGACCAAAAAGAAAGCTTGTTGATTGCAATCTCCTCTGTTCGGGTAGACTTGTCCTAAAATGGATATTTACTGGGACTTTTACTTTTCTCCTTAATGTCTATTTTTCCTAATCCATTGCATTTATGTCTTGTGC